CTACTTTAGTTATGTGATGTATTTTATATTTTATGTGAGTCGTTGAATTTTGCCAATTGCTTTGCCGTGAACCACTTTGAGGGTGGGAGTGTTGTTGTTGTTCATTCGTTCAGTCGTCTCCGACTCTTCGTGACCGCATGGACCAGCCCACGCCAGAGCTCCCTGTCGGCCGTCACCACCCCCAGCTCCTTCAAGGTCAGTCCAGTCACTTCAAGGATGCCATCCATCCATCTTGCCCTTGGTCGGCCCCTCTTCCTTTTTCCTTCCACTTTCCCCAGCTTAATTGTCTTCTCTAGGCTTTGCTGTCTCCTCATGATGTGGCCAAAGTACTTCAACTTTGTCTCTAGTATCCTTCCCTGCAATGAGCAGTCGGGCAAATTTATTTCCTGGAGGATGGACTGGTTGGATCAGGGTGAGAGTAGTGGTATTTAAATGAAATAAATAAATAAATAGTTCTGATTATGACTAAAAGAAAGGCAGCAGGTTAAAGAAGAGGTGGACGAAGTTCAGGCCATGAGGCACATGTGGTCCCCAATACCATTTTTAATATCCCAGATAGCTCCTGAAAGTTATAAATGGTCATTGGTGATATTGTTATGTATTGAGCACTAACCACAGTTGCTTAGTTCGTCATTTGAACATAGAAAATGTTTTCCTTTATGTTTTTGATTAAATTTGAGCAAATGTCATCATATCAACTTTTAAATAAAAATATAGACAACTACTGATTTATTTATAAAGGGCATAGACCCTTCCCCCCCCCCTCCCCAAAAGGACGACTGCAGTTAGTACAGTGATATGCATGGTCACTATACATTTGCATTTAATCTCAATAGGAAACCTTTTTACAAGGTACATGTTCTTTCCAAGGATGATTAACAGAAAACAAGTTTTATGTTTTATGTGTATGCATATGAAGTACCTAAAGTAAGTGTAGACAAAGTAATTGTATGTGATCAGTATACATTTGCATTTACACATTTTCTGCTTCTGATTTCTTTCTGGCGGACAGTTACACTACAAATGATGCCTCACAAGAGGGGAAAAAAAGACAAAAAATACTGTGGGCAAAGAAAGCAACTGCCTTAATTTTATTTTAATTATGAACCAGAAGACCATGTTTCAAGTATGCCATAGAAATATATTGAGGGAATGCAAAATGGAAAAAATAAGCATCCCATGGGAATTTATGAAGAACTATACATTAATGAAATAATACCGACATTCAAAATATTTAATAATATATATGTCATAAAGATTCTTGTATTCAAATTCACTTGCTGATGCAGTCACATACAAGTTCTTAAAGCCGCTTTGAGTCCCCCAGTGGACAGAAAAAACAGAATGTTAATAAACATCATCATCATAACAACAACTCATAACCATTAGGAAAAATCTGGAGACAATCATAAATATTGTCCATTTATTATGAAATTCCCTGGAATTGAATGAGTACATACCAACTGTTCATAACTTGAGCATAAATGTACACATCTTAGCAATGGCTCTTTCTTATCAATGTAGGCAGGTGCCACTGGATGTTGTTTAACCACATGGGAAATAATTTTTGTATTTGAATTTCTAAAATGAATTTCCTGAAAAACAGACAAATATACTACAAAGATTTGTGGATGCAGTTTCAACAATGATTGGTTAGAATTTGATAATTCATGCATCACGTAATAATACCAGTTCCACATAATTACAGTTTCTAAATGTCTCACATATAGTGCAGGCTCACCATTTCTGTATAGCAGTGGATTGCAAATGAACTTTTGAAATAAATAACATTTCTTCTTTAATCAAGTGTATATGAGGGACAGCACCATAGAACAAGGAAGTAAACAGATTAAAGAAATAAATTAAAAATCCAAGTCTTGTTTTTTGACTAGGCAATTCCCTGAACAGCTGGCCCTAGTTAGGACCCCAAAAGCCTGTCCTTTTACTACTGTTATATCCAAATATTTAATGATAAATCATTCTTATCCTATCACTGCTTTATGATATATGCACTTTATTCACTAGTTCTATCCTCTATTGTTGTTGGCACTTGTCCACCCACTTACGAGAGGACACTGAATTTAGCTATTGGTTGTTGATGTTCATTTTATATATTGCTTAATGTTGTTGTTTTTATCTTCGTTCTACTGCTTTTTGTTATTATTTTGTTTGATATGCATTTTAATGTGTTATGTTTTAACTGTACTGTTGGGCCTGGTACCATGAGAGCCGCCCCGAGTCCCTTCGGGGAGATGGAGATGAGGGTATAAAAATTAAGTTATTATTATTTTATTATTTGTGCAGTAGGACATTCTCAATAATCCATTTCTTATGTTCACGATAATATGGGTATAAGAAAATCCCTTCAGTGTTGTAAAAGTTATACTATGGGTTCAATTTTTGTTGAGCTAAATGTTTGCTAGTGTGTATAATATATCTCTTATAGACAAAATATCTAAAATGGCAGAATACTATACTGGAGAGCTAATGACCTGGACATGTTTGTTGTCTTTTGTATATAAAAATGACTCACTATTTGGGAAAAGTGATTGTTTGAGAGCTTTCTAAAATACAGGCATTTTGTAGGGAATGGGTGCATGGTCTCGATCCTTGCAGAACTTTTGTGGCTTGTTCCATCCCTCTTCGTTAGTTTTGTGTGGCTGGAGAATTTGGTGCACTTGGTTTCTGGTCAGTGGATATTTATTTAATTAACGTACATATTTTTTTCCCCAGCAGGAGGCGGAAAATGACTAAAAATGTTTAACAAAATCATAGCTAACATTTCAATGTTAAATTGCTGCTCTCATATACACCCATCATATCCTGTGACATGTAACTATCTCATAAATAGCCATTCTAGCTTTTCTGTAACCCGCAACTTCTGTTTCACTTTTAGCTACTATAAGGGCAACCATCACCCCTTCTGTATTTCACATATTTTACTTCCATTTCGATGTACAATTTATGATCCATTTCTAAGCATATGTAAATATAATTAAATATAGATTTATCAAGTAACACTGATTATAGTCATTGAGGAATATGCCCACAAGTTACTTATGTATGTGTATATGCCCACAAGTGTGTACTTTCTGTCTGAAAGTTTGTAGCTAAAAACCTGAATATTTTTTATTTTACTGTTATTGCAGTCACAGACCAGGAGTGTAAAACTTTAAAACTTTGAGGGGGTTTAAAAAGTTAACATGAAAACCTGAATTTCACAACATTAAAATCAAAAAGTCCTTAATATGGAGTCGATCTACACGGCTTCATGTATGAAGCTTATGGGGTATGGAAAATACCCCATATTATAATACCCCTGTGGGTATGGATAATAAACCAAGTAAGTTCAAACTTTATTCGCTAAATTCCTGAATAGAATCATAGAATCAAAGAGTTGGATGAGACCTCGTGGGCCATCCAGTCCAACTCCCTGCCAAGAAGCAGGAATATTGCATTTAAATCACCCCTGTCAGATGGCCATCCAGCCTCTGTTTAAAAGCTTCCAAAGAAGGAGCCTCCACCACACTCCGGGGCAGAGAGTTCCACTGCTGAACGGCTCTCACAGTCAGGAAGTTCTTCCTCATGTTCAGATGGAATCGCCTTTCTTGTAGTTTGAAGTCATTGTTCTGAGTCCTAGTCTCCAGAGAAGCAGAAAACAAGCTTGCTCCCTCCTCCCTGTGGCTTCCTCTCACGTATTTATACATGGCTATCATATCTCCTCTCAGCCTTCTCTTCTTCAGGCTAAACATGCCCAGCTCCTTAAGCCGCTCCTCATAGGGCTTGTTCTCTAGACCCTTAATCATTTTAGTCGCCCTCCCCTGGTCACATTCCACCTTGTCAATATCTATGTTGAATTGTGGTGCCCAGAACTGGACACAATATTCCAGGTGTGGTCTAACCAAAGCAGAATAGAGGGGTAGCATGACTTCCCTAGATCTAGACACTATGCTCCTATTGATGCAGGCCAAAATCCCATTGGCTTTTTTTGCCGCCACATCACATTGTTGGCTCATGTTTAACTTGTTGTTCACAAGGACTCCCAAGATCTTTTTCACACGTACTGCTCTCGAGCCAGGCATCGTCCCCCATTCTGTATGTTTGCATTCTGTTTCAATAGTATCAAAGATGTCGCAATTACCCCCTTTACATGGGTGGTATGTGTATATACTATAATTGGACACAAAATAAATAAAGTGTAAACCAGACAGGAAAGTGTGGATTTCGAATAAGTCAAAGTGGTACTTTATTGCAGTGGGTTTCATGGGTGTTCCTTCAGGGCTGTAACCGGGGGGGGGGGGGGGGGGGGGGGGGGGAGAGTGACAGAGTTGGAAATCATCTGCATACAGGTATATGCTATATACTTTCATGTGCCTGAAAATAAATCTATCTGATGTAAAGTACCAATCTTTTCTGTACTTGCAATTCACAAAGCATCCCATATAGGGCTTTATTTGCCTAATAAGACTGTATCTATATGCTACCCTTATATATATTCTGCCTTATCTATATGGATAGACCAATTAAGACAGGCATGGGGCAAACTTGGGCCTTCCCTCCAGGTGTTTTGGACTTCAACTCCCACAATTCCTAACAGCCTACCGGCTGTTAGGAATTGTGGGAGTTGAAGTCCAAAACACCTGGAGGGAAGGCCCAAGTTTGCCCCATACCTGATATATAACAACAGAGAAAGTGCGGCCTATAGGCCCTGAAGCCTGAAAGCCTATAAGCCCTAAAAATGGCCCCAAAAAGAACGAAAATCACACGTATATCCAGTGTTCTTGGTCCTCCCTGAATTCTCTAAGCGCTTTCAGTCCAAGAACCAATGAACACTTATGCTTTGAGGGTTTACTCACTCCAGCACCCAACTAAGCGACCACTCCGAAGCGAATCTGAAAAGTTCTGCTTGAGTCTCGCGAGAGCTGCCTCCTGCAGGGATGTAACGTCTCGCGAGAACACGCAGGCAGTCACTAAAGTCGATGCAAATCTCGCGAGGCTGACGTTCACCAGCGGAGACAGGAAGAGAAGGGGAAGCGTGGCAGCCGCGTGAGCTTCCGAGACAGAGAGCAGCTTCTCCGCTTCGGCTACGTAAGAATCTCACGCTTACTTGGGATTTCAAGCCTTCCTTGCAAAATGGGGCAGCTCCAACAATATGCTGCATGTTGTCTCTGAGCCTGTCATCCACACTGCAGACTCAGAGCAGTTTGATACCGCTTTAATGGCTCAGGTCTATTGGATTCAGGGAGTTGTCGTTTTGTGAGGCGTTTAGACCCTGTGGGACTACAAATCCTAGTATTCCATAGCATTGGGGCATAGCTGGTGTCAAACTGCAATAACTCTGCAAACAAAATACACAATAAAGATAAAAATGCATAATAAAGTAAATAATTAATACAAACAATGTATCGTAACTAAATACCTACCTGCGTGACCGCATCTCCATCTACGAACCCATGCGTTCTCTTCGGTCATCTGGAGAGGCCCTGCTCGTGATCCCACCGGCGTCGCAAGCGCGCTTCGTGGGGACGCGGGACAGGGCCTTTTCCATGGTGGCCCCCCGACTCTGGACCACCCTCCCCAAAGACCTTAGACAGGCCCCTACATTGGCTGTCTTCAGAAAGAACTTGAAGACCTGGCTTTTCCGATGCGCCTTCCCAGATTAGGAAATCTCCACCACCAAGTCCCATAAGCACTTTATCAGAACCAATGATTGCTGCACATCGCACTTGCCCTGGAAGCCCTATATACACCTCCTGTCACATCAGCACTTTTAATCTTTGTACCCACTCTCTGGCCCGGCCCAGTTTTATTGTGTTTAGTGTATTGTGCCTGTTGTTTATTTTTTTATTCTGTTTTTAATTGTTTGATTTGCTTAGATTGTACTGTTGTGTTGTGTGTTGAGGCCTCGGCCTGTGTAAACCGCATCGAATCCTTCGGGAGATGCTAGCGGGGTACAAATAAAGTTTAATAAATAATAATAATGTTGTTGTCATTCGTTCAGTCGTCTCCGACTCTTCGTGACCTCATGGACCAGCCCACGCCAGAGCTCCCTGTCGGCCGTCACCACCCCACTTCAAGGTCAGTCCAGTCACTTCAAGGATGCCACCATCCATCTTGCCCTTGGTCGGCCCCTCTTCCTTCCTTCCACTTTCCCCAGCATAATTGTCTTCTCTAGGCTTTCCTGTCTCCTCATGATGTGGCCAAAGTACTTCAACTTTGTCTCTAGTATCTTTCCCTCCAGTGAGCAGTCGGGCTTTATCTCCTGGAGGATGGACTGGTTGGATCTTCTCGCAGTCCAAGGCACTCTCAGCACTTTCCTCCAACACCACAGTTCAAAAGCATCTATCTTCCTTCGCTCAGCCTTCCCTAAGGTCCAGCTCTCACATCCGTAGGTGACTACAGGGAATACCATTGCTTTAACTATGTGGATCTTCGTTGCCAGTGTGATGTCTCTATTTTATCGAGATTGGACATTGCTCTCCTCCCAAGAAGTAAGTGTCTCCTGATTTCCTGGCTGCAGTCTGCGTCTGCAGTAATCTTTGCACCTAGAAATACAAAGTCTGTCACGGCCTCCACGTTTTCTCCCTCTATTTCCAGTTGTCAATCATTCTTGTTGCCATAATCTTGGTTTTTTTTATGTTTAGCTGCAACCCAGCTTTTGCGCTTTCTTCTTTCACCTTGATTAGAAGGCTCCTCAGCTCCTCCTCGCTTTCGGCCATCAGAGTGGTGTCATCTGCATATCTGAGGTTGTTAATGTTTCTTCCATCAATTTTCACCCCAGCTTTGCATTCATCCAGCCCCGCACATCGCATGATGTGTTCTGCATACAAGTTAAAAAGGTTGGGTGAGAGTATGCAGCCTTGCCGTACGCCTTTCCCAATCTTGAACCAGTCTGTTGTTCCATTGTCAATTCTTACTGTTGCTACTTGGTCCTTGTACAGATTCCTCAGGAGAGAGACAAGGTGGCTTGGTATGCCAAGCCACCTTTTGCTAAATATGATAGTAATCAATAAAACATGCTGCAGAACTAGAGCAGCCTAACACCACTTTTAACTGCAGTGTAGATGCACCCTCTTGTGAGAGAGCTCTGATGCCACAGCAGACTACAACTCCCAGAACTCTCTAGCAGTTAAAAGTGGTGTTAGGCTGCTCTACCTCTGCAGCATGTTTTATTGATTGCTATCATGTTTAGTTATGATAGATTGTTTGTATTAATTATTTAATTTATATGCATTTGTATCTTTATATATTTATATGCATTTGTATCTTTATATATTTATATTACATGTAATATTACTAATAATATTACAGTATAATTGATATAGTGCAATATAGCAATATTTAAAACTGATATTGTACTATGTTTATAATATATTGTATGTATATATACCTTGTAAGCTGCTCTGAGTCCCCCTCGGGGTGAGAAGGGCGGCATATAAATGTCGTAAATAAATAAATAAATTTATTGTGTATTTTGTTGTAAGCTGTTCCGAGCTTACTTCTGAGGAGGAGAGCAATGACCAATCTCGATAAAATAGTGAAGAGTAGAGACATTGAAGATCAACATAGTTAAAGCAATGATATTCCCCATAGTCACCTACGGATGTGAGAGCTGGACCATAAGGAAGGCTGGGCGAAGGAAGACAGATGCTTTTGAACTGCGGTGTTGGAGGAAAGTGATGAGAGTACCTTGGACTGCGAGAAGATCCAATCAGTCCATACTTCAGGAAATAAAGCCCAACTGCTCATTGGAGGGAAGAATAGTAGAGGCCAAGATGAAGTACTTTGGCCGCATAATGGGAAGACAGGAAAGCTTAGAGAAGACAATTATGCTGGAGAAAACTGAAGGAAAAAGGAAGAGGGGCTGACCAAGGGCAAGATGGATGGTATCCTTGAAGTTACTGGATTGACCATAAAGGAGCTGGGGGTGGCTACAGCTGACAGCTCTGGCGTAGACTGGTCCATGAAGTCACGAAGAGTTGGAAGTGACTGAACAAGTAATCAACAACAGAGACACCACATTGGCAAAGAAGATCCACATAGTTAAGCACTGGTATTCCCCATAGTCACCTATGGATGTGAGAGCTGGACCATAAGGAAGGCTGAGCGAAGGAAGATAGATGCTTTTGAACTGTGGTGTTTCCTTCCATTTTCCCCAGCACAATTGTCTTCTTGGACAGCGAGAAGATCCAACCAATACATACTTCAAGAAATAAAGCCCGACTGCTCATTGGAGGGAAGGATACTAGAGGCAAAGATGAAGTACTTTGGCCACATCATGAGAAGACAGGAAAGCTTAGAGAAGACAACCATGCTGGGGAAAAAGGAAGAGGGGCCGAGAAAGGGCAAGATGGATGGTATCCTTGAAGTGACAGGCTTGACCATGAAGGAGCTGGGGGTGGCTATAGCCGACAGGGAGCTCTGGGGTAGGCTGGTCCATGAAGTCACGAAGAGTCGCAACCAACAGAACGAATAAACAATAACAGCCAGCCCCAGCTCCTTCATGGTCAAGCCAATCACTCCATCTGGCCCAGTTTTGCAAAAAACAAACTAACCAACAAAGCAAAGCAAAAACACCATGATAGTCCCACTTTAGGATTAGAAAGGATGTGGAGGCACATCCATCTTGCCCTTGCTCAGCCCCTCTTCCTTTTTCTTTCCATTTTCCCCAGCAGACAGCTTTCCTGTCTTTTCATTATGTGGCCAAAGTACTTAATCTTTGTTGTTGTTTATTCGACAAAGGAAGAGGGGCCGACCAAGGGCAAGGTAGATGAATGGTATCCCTGAAGTGACTGGCTTGACCTTGAAGGAGCTGGGAGTGGTGACGGCCGACAGGGAGCTCTGGTGTGGGCTGGTCCATAAGGTAACAAAGAGTCGGAAGCGACTGAACGAATAAACAACAAAGCTCCGAGTTACAAAGGGAGATGGGACGGGATATAAATAAAGGTGACTTGACTTGACATGTTTTCACCCTCCACCTCTCGAAATACCTTATGGTTGATCTCAGCCCCTGAAGCATATCAGTCTTTGAATAATGCACAACTTTGCTCTCTTTTTCATACCTGGCTGTCTTGTGGTTTTATTTCTTCCTGCATTATCTACATGCCAAAAGGGTTTCCTCCAGCATTGATTTTTTTCCCTCCTTTTTAGCTTGGAAGTTGCATGTGGAACGAGAATGGAATACATGAAAGAACCTGCAACCGTCAGCCAGGGAAATATGTAAGTAACAGTTTCCATGAGCCCACACCAGAGTGCATTTAAATTGAGTTTTCAGTGACAGAATAGACTTTGTATTTATGCATGCAAATGTACCAAATTCTTTGTCTTCTTAGAAATGAGAAAGTTCATGGTAGGTAGTGGTCATTATTCACCCTGAGGAGCATTAAGTTGCTGAAAACATATCCTCAATTGACTCGGCAGAGATCTAAAGATTGGAGTCTCAAGTTAAGCTCCAGAATGTCAAAACTTAATGATAGCATTGTGTGTGTAAACAAACATTGTGTATGGACTGGATGGCCCTTGTTTTCTCTTCAAACTCTTATCATTCCATTGAATAGGCTGAGATTTTGTTCAACACCAACAAAGCACCAAGAAATCTCATCCTATTTACACTGAAATCCATTGTACAAGTAGCTTGGCCTAACTTTGTGTTGTTCAGTGGGTGAAAATAGCCATCCTTTCCTACTTTCTATTGAAACCATGTAATTACATTATGGATTGTAATTTTTTTTTAAAAAAAAATCTTTTATTCTAGCCTGTGCTGCGAGTGTGGAATCCCAATCCCACCAAACCCAGCCAACATGTGTGTATCGTGTCTACGCACAAAGGTGGACATCACTGAAGGAATCCCTAAACAAATTACTGTTCATTTCTGCAAACAGTGTGAAAGGTATAAACCATATTCAAGATCTTAAAACATAGCATAATAGTACTGAGTTTAGTTGTTGTTGTTTTTTTTGTTTGCATTCTTTAAAAAAAAAGATTCCTGTGGTATCCTTTGTTACAAATGCAAGTTTTATTCAAAGATGTTTTTTATTGTTTGTTGAAGAGGTCAGACTCTGGCAGAAAATGCAGCTGCCCAGACTATCTACATATTGGGGTGGCTTCTTCACAAACTACAGTGAAAGAGGAATAAATAGCTCACGTTACAGTTATTTTCTTTGAAGAGTTTATTGCTGGCAGAATGAGTAGTTTGAGTGTTGGATTTGGAGACCCGGGGTTCAAATCCCCAGTTGGAAATGGAAACTTATTGGGTGACTTTGAGCAAGTTACACTCTCTCGGCTTCAGAGGAAAGCAAGAGCAACCCCCATCTGGCCCAGTCTTGCAAAAAAGCAAACAAAAAAAAAACAAAGCAAAAACACCATGATAGTCTCACTTTAGGGTTAGAAAAGATTTGGAGGCACATAACAGCAGTAGCAACAACAGCATGCAGGTGGGAGAAATAGTAGGCCTCTTCCATGTGAGATTTACTCATTGGCCAGTAAGGAACAAACACTTGTGAATCTTGCTGTATATAAAAAGCTTTATTGTTGTTTTATGTAGTGTGACTTCACTGATTTAGTATACTTGGCGATGTTAACCGATCATTTCTGTAGAAATCCCAATTTCAATTAATTCAACTTCTGCTAAACCCCAATCATGATCCCCAGAGATGTGCAGTATAATTGGTGCATAAAGTTTTCCTTACTAAGCTAACTGGTGCCTATATACAGAGTTTAAGTCCTCATAAATATTTATAGTATGTTTTAAGTTTTATTCAAAGTACTGCTGCGTTTGGATACTAAAATAAATTAATCATTACAAAATTACCTGTAATCTCTAAATAGATGTTGACTTTATGTACAGTAGTAAAGGTGGATGTTGCAACAGATTTTGTTCCAATAGTAAAGGGGCAATAAATGTGCCCAGGTCAAAAACTCCATTGAGATTTTTACTGTGATTTCAAATTTTAAAATGGTTCCCAGCTTACAACAGTTGTCAATGTAGATAATTAACTGGCAGCTCCATAAATGTCTTAACAATTTCTCAACTGATGGATGGTAAAAATTCTAATATCAGTCCGAACTACAGTTAGAAAGAGTCACCCTGAGGGCTGAGAAGAGCGGTATACAAATATAGTAAATGAAAATAGTAAATAAATTAACTTTTGAGAAGATATAACTAGGATTGTGCTGCAAGTCACAGCTGTGATTATCCAAATATTGAACTGCAAATGTCTGTTAGCCATAACCAACATAACTAAAGCCCAAAAAGTTGCAATCTAATCCTGGAAGAGTTAAAGTCCCTATTAGTTTCATTTAAATCTGAGTCACGAGTAACTTGATTTTGATGGGACAAAAGTGTGGCCAATTGCATCCAGATCTAGAACTGTGACATATTTAATGCATCTGCATTTATAACTGCATTTTAAAAGACAACTCACCATAAATCACTGCAAAACAGTTCCAGTTGTTAAAAATGGCTCCTTTTTGAATTCCAGGTATCTTCAGCCTCCAGGAACATGGGTGCAGTGTGCCTTGGAATCAAGAGAACTTCTGACCTTGTGCCTTAAAAAGATTAAAGCTTCACTTAGTAAGGTTAGTCTCATTCCTCTTCATTGTTCTGTAGTAGTGATGTAGTCATATAAACTTCATACTGAAATCTGCAATATATTACAAATATGGTTTTCTTTGTTCATAATAATGATTTCACATATTTCAGTTAATACTTTGAGGATTTTTTGCTTTCCTCTTCTTATAATGAAATCTCTCTTAGCTGCATGCATGTTCTGCCTTAGAGAGAGAAATGCCTTGAAAATACAGAGCAGATGTTACACTTGATGGTTGAGGCCTGATTGCTACGTGATCCTATCCTTTACCAATAGTAGCATGATTTCTTCTGTTTGAGGCTGATGCCTTCATTTTATGTTTATTTTTCACTTCACGAATGCTAGGTCGTGATCTATTTGAATTTTTCTGTCTTTGATTTTTGTTTCACATGCAATTCTGACAGTAATACATCCCTTGTACAGGCAACCCCCGATTTACAAATATCCAACTTACATCCGACACATAGTTAAGAGCGGGGGTGAGACAACAGAAAGTGAGAAATTTACACGTAAGAAGGAAAATTCACTCCTGAAAGAGTTATCATGGGGAAAAGATGTCTCCGCTGAAGCTTTCTCGCCAACCTTCGTTTCCACAACAAACCAACATTTTCAAAATCCAATGATCACAGGGACAGAAAGTTAGGTGAAATCTTCTGAACAGGGGCACAGACAGCAAAATTAACCATATATGGCTGGAGCTATTCTTAAAAAAATGTATCTGTTCTTACTTCCACACAAATTCAATTTAAGAACAAACCTACAGAACCTATCTTGTTTGTAATTTGTGGACTGCCTGTATTGCAAGTATTCTCTTATAACACAAGGGTTAATAATACCAATATCATGTTCTCATTTCCTACAGGCTAACTTTACTATATATCTCAGATCTGTAGTGTGAAATGTGAAACTTTAAAGAATCAGAAAGGTTAAGGGTACACGATCACACTGCTTTAAACTGACAGGCTGCCAATCATAAAATATAACAAAGGTTTTCCAAAATAAGTTGTAATCAAATACTTAATATCGCCGAAAAAGCAGGATGGATCCCTAGATCTCTAAGTAAAATCATGGTGTTTTTACTTAGACATATTATGGCAGACATATTATGATAAAGTATGTGCCATTGAGCAGGAAGCAGCTGTTCAAATAGCTGTGTTTGAAATACTGTTTATGTGGAGATCCATAAGAAATTCATTAGTTTGAAATATATTGATGCTTTTGAACAGGTGAAGGATATTGCAAACAGTCGTCCCTAGTGTTGCATGAGATTGTTCTATATGAATGACTTTTTAAACAGTGTTTTGTTCAGTGGATAGGATGTTGCTGCTTATTGAAAAATAATTTTCAGTCCCCAGAAATAATCCATATTTCATCTAATGGAACTGTTCTGTTTAATTTTCCTCTGTTAGTTAAATTGGCTGTTGCATGTTTCCTGTAATCCTTAAAATGTTTATTGAGTACAATGTATCCTTGTATTTATTTGTGCATTTTGTAGTGATACTAAACACAGGAGCTATCAAATTCAGATTCCATCTGCTGTGTTGCTAGCCTTAATTACTTGACAATATGCACTTTAATTGTGCATGGTCTATTCTGACAGGTGCGATTGATCGATGCAGGGTTTGTGTGGACTGAACCACACTCCAAAAGACTTAAAGTAAAATTGACTGTACAAAAAGAGGTAAGTAAAGTTGAATGACTTCTACCAATATTATAGTCATAGAAATAAAAGGCTATATTTTGTTAAGAGGGACTGTAGTGGTGTATGTTATAGTGGTTTGAGTGTTGGACTACAGTTTTGGAGACCAGGGTTCAAGTCCCTCTTTGTCCGTGGAAAACCATTGGGTGACCTTGGGCAAGTCCCCACTCTCAATGTCAGAAAAAGGCAAAGAAAACTTCCTCTGAACAAGAAAACACTGTGATAAATTTGCCTTAGGGTCGTCATAAGTTAGAAACTACTTTTAGTCACACCGTAGCAACAATAATCTAAGGAAGAAGGAACTCAAAGTTTCTTTTCTTTACAACTATTTGGGTTCTCAAAATTTTAATCCTGTTCACAGTGTCTTAAGACCAAGGGCCATTAAAATTAGTGAGACCTACATTCAAGGCACTTAAATACAGCGTTCAACAAAACAAGGTCTTACATTCACATTTCTTCCCTAGGTAATGAATGGTGCAATTCTTCAGCAAGTCTTTCTAGTAGAGTATATTGTTCATTCTCAGATGTGTGGTGACTGCCATCGAGTTGAAGCTAAGGACTTTTGGAAAGCAGTGGTTCAAGTTAGACAAAAGGTAAATGAGAGTGAGGTGCATCTTGATGAAGAAGAACAGCCAACATGCACACCCATTTACTATACTAAAGCTTATTATTAAAAATATAGTCACATTAGGCCAGTAGTGAGCAACTGGGGATGTGAATCAATCCACTGTGGCTAGAGTAGTTTGTCAGTGTGCCCCATCAGACATCATTTCCAGTTGGTTTTGGGCTATAATGGGGAGATTCAAAGCCACTGGATTTGCAAATTGTTTTCTTGCTTTTGGAGCTATTTTCAGACCCAGAAACTGGCCTGAAAATAAATGTACCCAGTCCTCATTTTACGGATTTATTTTCAAACTCTATATGGTTAACTTAAGAAAGCCAGCATGGTGTAATGATGTGAGCATTGGACACCAGTGTTTGATTCTCTGCTCAGCAACTCGCTGGGTGACCTTGGACAAGTCACACAGTCTCAGTTTCAGAGGAGAGCAAAGGCAAAACCCCTCTGGAAAAAACTTCCAATATGTTCACCTTAAGTTGGAAATTACTTGAAGGCACACAACAGCAACATTAACAAATGTTAAATAACCTGTGCGATATATATGGAGACTACAAAATGTCTCGTTTCTTTCCTGTGCATTCCATTCAGTTAAGTTTAAGTGCTAAGGAATAGGTCTTCATGAAATCAGTGCAGTGAAATTCTTGGGGGGAGGGGGGGGGTCCTTGGTTCACCTATAAATTTGGTTCTAATTCTTATCTTTTAGACTCTACATAAAAAGACATTCTATTACTTGGAACAATTGATTTTGAAGCATAGACTTCACCAGAACACTCTTCGTATCAAAGAGATTCACGGTGAGCGAGGTTTTCTTTTCTCTATAATCCTTACAGAAAATAAATGGTGTTATCTAATTTGGCACCAGTTCTTACTACAGGAAATATTAACATGCTCATTAGTTGCTAGCATAAAAAAATGCAAGGTTTTGCAAATAATATTAGATGCTCTTTGTTGTGTATGAATGCCTGGCTTCCAGAGGTTCCACAAGAGCAGAACAGTCTAGTAAGACTGGTTTGGGTCATAGGCTGTATCAGATAGCAAGAACTGACAAAGCCAGCCTTCTCATGGACCTATTAGAAGATAGATATTTGAGAAACAGAAACAAGGAAGCTTGCAAATTTCTTCCCCTGCTACCACTCCTTCCTTCCTAGGCATGTGCAAAGAATGTGGCACTTCTAGTGCAACAGAATGTAATGCTAGTGTGATGCTGCAGTTGGAATCCTGGGAATTATATTATGTACTGTTACTTGTAATTGGATATGATGTCACTTGATTGGTTGGATGGACTTATATCGCATCTTTCTTTAAAAGAAAAAGATAGATACATGCCCAGTTATGGTCATCATGAACCTTCATTCATTTATGATATTTATCTCATAGTAGAAACAAACATACCATGGATGTAAAAAGAAGAATAATGTGATGAAAATACATTAAAGAATGATGTTTAGGTTTCCATAGAAGCCCACGAAGATTGTAAGATCTTGTGATGGAACCATATTATGAATTTTCATAATTTCAATTCTGTGCTTTCAGATGGTCTGGATTTCTACTATTCTTCAAAGCAACATGCTCAAAAGATGGTGGACTTTCTGCAGTCTACAGTACCTTGCAGGTAAGACCTCATTAGTTACACAGCTGTTTAAGCCACTTCAGTCCTATTGGGAGAAAGAGGACTTCTCAGACTTCAGACTTCCGCATTCATCCTTGTTCTGTATTAAAGGCCTTCCATATTAATGCCTGCATGTGATCACATGAATATCATATGTAACCTTGTGGAGTCTATAGTTCTGAGGCAAGAGTGATGAAACTGTGAGCCATGGGCCATATATGTTTATCAAGTTTTGAAATCTCCAGGGTCCCCAACACCTTCCTTTGAGAAGAATTTCCAAAAATATGATAAATCTTACTCCCTTGTGTCTTGAGGAGGCTTTCGGGATGCAAGTCTGCCAATACCCCTCGAGCAATTTTAGGCGCATGAGCTGTCTTTTTTTACAATAATGTAATCAGTTTTTCTCCTGATTAGTGGGAGAAAGTGGCAGTACAGTAAATCAGAGAATCAGGGGTGTCAGTTCGGAGAGACTGAACTGTTATCATTAGCTATGTGATCTTTACATAGTCCCTCCTGGAAAAGAAAAGGGCCAGGATCTTGTAGTATCCATGAGTCCAGCTTACCATATATACTATGGTATATATGGTAAGCCGAGTTTTTCAGCCTTTTTTTAGGCTGAAAAAGCCCCTGACGGCTTATACTCAAGTCAAAGTTATTTATTATTTGACTGGGTTATTATTATTATTACATTTCTTATTTTTCTCTTTACTACTATGATTGTTACATGCACATTATTTTCCTCTATATTATTACATTTATTATTTTCCCTGTTTACTATTGTTACTATGATTACATTTATTATTTTACTCTATTATTATTTTTATTATATGTTTTACGGTCTTTATTATTATTTGAAGGACAAAAACATTTAACCTTTGATGCCTCAACTAATGTAATTTTATTGGTATCTTATTTTTATTTTGAAATACACCAGTAGCTGCTGCATTTCCCACCCTTGGCTTATATGCGAGTCAATACATTTCCTCAGATTTTTTTTGTGGTAAAATTAGGTGCCTCGGCTTATAATAGAATTGGCTTATACTCGAATATATATAGTAGTTGATTGTGAGCTTTCACTGAGTTCAGTCCACTTCTCATATATTGATGGTCAGTCATCAGTGATTCTGAAGATACTGAATGAAATCCATGACAGTGGAAGATAAAACAGATTAATTCATTTTAAAGGCACCAATTGATTCTTTTCTCCACCTCTTTCCTTTTTTCAGGTCTAAATCATCCCAGCGTTTGATCTCTCATGACATTCATAGCAATACATATAATTACAAAAGCACCTTCTCTGTGGAAATTGTTCCGATATGCAAGGTATTTTGACTTTGCAAGTTAAGATTTGAGGGGGAAAAAGAATCAGGATTATCTGCTGTATGAAAAGCTTTATATTTCATTTGTGGAACTTCTGATTTACCAGGTGTTATAAGACTCCATTTGCTATTTGAGGTATTTTGAGAATTCACTAGATATTTTTAGTGATTTATAGCCTGTTAATGATTATGTTTCTATCAATTCACAAGATATATTTTGAAAAAAATGTTTTCAGAAATGACATTTTTTGAAGGAGGTTGTTTTGATTTTGCTTAAAGACTTTCAAAGTTTTGTGAGTTTCTTCAGATGAAGCTATATTGGAATAAGGATTCTTTTTGTAGTCTAAAAGCCTTCCAACAGACTTGCAGTATGTTCTTGTCTGATGTTTTAGCTAGCTAGCTTTTTCTTTTCCAGAATATTTTAAGGTTCTTTGTTCTTCCAGATGTTTAGCTGTTAGATGCAAGAATTATTGCACTATTTTTTTCTCAATGATTACTAAACAAGTTCATCCTTTGTGAGGCAAAGTACCTGTTAATTCGGCTATGTGTCAAACTCACTGCTTAATTTAGGATGTCCAGTGTCATTGGAATACCTAAGAGCAGTGGTTCCCAACATTTTTGACCTGGGACCACTCTCCAACATTTGTACCAAAAGGGTCAGTTTTTTGTCAGAATTAGATTTTGTTTGGTTATTTGGGGCACTGATTCTGAAAAGTGCTTTGGCTAGACCACATCAGATCTAGATTCTGATACAGAACATATGACATCCAGTAGTCCGCAAGTGAAGACCTGACTGTTCGAACAGGCATTTGATTAGGCAGTGTAATTTATTATAGGAACATGGAATAACAGATGATGAGACTAGATTCTGATTCTATTGATGAGACGTAAATGATTGTAATATTGATGTTTAATTGTTGTCATGCTATTGCTTTTAAATGTTCCAGTGATTTTGTAATGTTTGTATTGAAACTGTTGTTGTTAACCGCTTTGAGTCGCCTAAGGGCTGAGAAAAGCGTATATAAATGAAGTAAGTAAATAAATAAATAAATCTGCTCACCCAGAGAAAACTATATTTAATAAGCCTCGGCACTATTAAGAGGATTTTGCAAGACCAGTCACTGTAGTAACAGTGAGGCCATGGAACATATTTTAGTTCTTGCGGACCACTGCTGGTCCACGGACAACAGGTTGGGAACCACTGACCTAAAGACACTCCATGAATGCGATAGTAGAGGAATGGAAACATCTTTTGGAATTCCTGTTTCTAATATCCAGCAATTTGGTTTCAGGATTTTTGAGATGTGATGCTGTATTTGACCTTTTGATAACCAAAGAAGACATTTGGAAGTTTATCTTTGTTCATTCAGAACTACATTGAATAGAAAGATTTCTTTTGCATGTGTTTTTGAATCTTTTAATTCTTTCAGGAGATTTAAGAACTTTGTAAAGTTCCCAAAGATTGTATTGATAATTCCTTAAAAGTTTCCTGATCCTCAGAGTTTTGAAATTTCAGTAATTCTGTTAACAAAATATTTATGACAGGTATAAGAGAAGTTTTTTTATTGTTTTTCTGGTATTTTTTCTCATTGTGCAGGACAATGTTGTGTGCTTGTCTCCAAAACTGGCTCAGAGCCTTGGGAATATGAGCCAGATTTGTGTTTGCATCCGTGTTACGAGTGGTGTTCATATAATTGATCCTAATACATTGCAAAGTAAGTTGTTGATTTGTTTCCCCCTTATCACTGTATGTGTGTGTGTGTGTAATATCAAGATATACAAGAAGATTAATTTAAGTGTTACAAGATTAATGTAAATATGCCCAAATTTAAGCTATTTTGGACGAAATACATAGGCCAGTCCTAACTGGAGTAGAACCATTGTATCAGTTACTGAATGGCAAATAAAATACTAAACATAAATTCCATTGATTCCATAAGTTCACTATCATTGGGACTTCGAAATTAAAACTTTTAAAATATTTTTAGTAGGGCTATTGGCCAAGTATTTTATCCATTTTGTGTAAGTACGTGTTTTTAACTTAATGTTGATGGTTGCATTCTGTTGTCGAAGGCTTTCATGGCCGGAATCATTGGGTTGCTGTGCGTTTTCCGGGCTATATGGCAATATTCCAGAAGCATTCTCTCCTGATGTTTCGCATATATCTATGGCATCCTCAGAGGTTTTATGAGGTCTGATGGAAACTAGGCAAGTAAGGTTTACATGTCTGTGGAGTGTCCAGGGTAGGAGAAAGAACTCCTGTCTGTTTGAGTTGTGAATGTTGCAATTGGCCACCTTGATTAGCATGTAAAGGCCTTGCAGATTCAATCCTGGCTGGTTGCTGCCTGGGGGACTCCTTTGTTGGAAGGTGTTAGCTTGCCCTGATTGGTTCTTGTCTGGAATTCCCCTGTATTTTGAGTGTTACTCTTTACTTACCATCCTGATTTTAGAGTTTTTAAATTCTGGTAGCCAAATTTTATTCATTTTCCTGGTTTCCTCACAAAACCTCTGAAGATGCCTGCCATAGATGTGAGATAAATGTCAGGAGAAAATGCTTCTGGAACATGGTCATACAGCCCAGAAAACTCACAGCAACCTGATGGTTGTATTGTTTGGAATATATTTTAGGCTGTTTAAGATATTTTTGTTTTCATATTTAAAAGTGTTCAAAATTGTTAAAATTGATTTATTGTATTCTGCCCTAAGTTGATATAGGGCAGGATATAAATCTATTAATTAATTAAACTATGCTAGTCAGATGACATTAGCAGTTCCCTTATCCTTGATGTGAAAATGATACTTCTGTGATTGGGTGAGGGACTTTGAAGAAGAGCAAACTGGGTCTGTGTAATTTTCACTTTATTAAAAGCAATGCCACAAAGTTCTTTGGTTAGCAACCACATTGGTTCCATATGTTTTCTCTTGTTCTTACAGTTGCAGAAATTGATGGGAACACTTATTGGCGTTATCCTTTTAACAGCTTGTTCCATCCAAAGCAATTGGAGGAATTTATTGTCATGGATATCAGCAGGGTCCATGACAGAAAACAAGGTGCTGGCGCGGGCATGAGATCCACCAAAGTAAGAATTGTTCTTCTCTTCGTTAGACCTCTTCGGTGTTATCTTGCTTCTTGCCTTAAAATTGTTACAGCATTTCCTGCAGACAAAATAAAGCTGCCACAGTAAATCCCTCTGTCCTGGCCGTTGTCCCTCAAATTCCTACCGGCTGTTAGGAATTGTGGGAGTTGAAGTCCAAAACACCTGGAGAGATGGCCGAAGTTTTCCCATGCCTGGTTTATCCTCTCACATATGGTTGCATTGCTCTGGTGGATTTATCTCTACTTAATTTATGCTTTATAGAAAGTGTGTCTTTGTGTTTTAACTGTTTAAATTGTAATTGAAATGTTGCTTCAGAAAAGAAACAATATTTCCATTTTTTCTCATTAATAGAGTAGTTTCTATCAGTGAAAACATATAGTAAGCAAAGCTAAGAACATGTTACTGAAAGATTTTAGCCAAGACTGTGTTGAAGACACAAATTCTGCTTTAAAATTGTCTCCATGATGTGCTAAAAAATTTATTTCTCAATTATTAATCTATCTAATGGCAGCATGATTTTGTTCATCACTAAATCAACTCTTATTCACTTCAAGACACAGTACTATGTCACATGCACAATATCATGCCCATGACGTTTTTCTTATTAGAAAAAACTGCACAATTTCACCCAATTAGACCACACCATCCACATTGTTCCTAAACATAACGGCTTGGACTACAGTTATGGAGGGCCTGATTTTAATATTGAATGTAATGTTTTTCAATGCTTAATATGTATTAATTTTAATTTAATTTTAATCTTAATGCTATTGGAATTGTATGTATTTTAAAGCATTGAATAATTGCCTAAATGTAAGCTGCGTTGAGTCCCCTTCAGGGTAGTAAAAGGTAGGGTATAAATAGGGCAAATAAAAAAATAACAAAAATTAAGCAGTTTCGGTGCAAAATACTTTTTTTTTTAAGATAGAGGATAGTATTAATTTTAACTGTCTTCTATTTTCAACCTGTTTTCTTTTGTGTCTTTTAAGCATACGCTTGCTGAAGCTTGGGTTCAGAAGACATCAGAGCTGAATACAGACCATCAGTATTTCTGTCGCACTCACTTAGGACACCTTCTGAATCCTGGAGATCTAGTGATGGGGTTTGTATTATTGTTCTTTCAGTTGGTGTTCGGTTTAGCAGAGGCAGAATCCTTGAGATTGATCTTTACCTCTATTTAAAAAGTTTGAGGACCCCTCGTCTGAATCATGGGACAAGTATCCAGAAGTCCTTCATTTCAATAGGGTTTGCTATCATGCATGGATTTGCGTTTCCCCCACAGATACAGGGATCATACTGCATTTGCAATAGAGATGTTATTTTTAATTTCTTCTACATTCTAATAGTGAGTATCTCTTTACTTTTAGCAAGTGGCTGTCTTTTGAGTTGTCAGAGAAGTAGAATAGCCCACTGTCAACTCAAGGCTATTTCCAACATCATAACCATTTACTTTTCTAATCTTTTGAATATTAAACCTATCTAACATGGCATAATAAAAACTGCATTTTCTCTGTGCTTCTTTTAGATTTGACTTGGTCAATTGCAATCTGAATGATGAATTTGCAAATAAGATGAATCCACATAACATTCCTGATGTGGTAAGTTTTTAAGATGTTCAATGTATTGTTGAAGGCTTTCAGGGCCGGAATCACTGGGTTGTTGTAGGTTTTTTCACGCTATATGGCCATATTCTAGAGACATTATCTCCTGACATTTCGCCTGCATCTATGGCAGGCATCCTCAGAGGTAGTGAGGTCTGTTGGAACTAGGAAAAGGGGTTTATATATCTATGGAATGACCAGGGTGGAACAAAGGACTCTTGTCTGCTGGAGCTAGGTGTGAATGTTTCAACTGACCACCTTGATTAGCATTTGATGGCCTGGCAGTGCCTGGGGCAATCTTTTGTTGAGAGGTGATTAGATGTCCCAGATTGTTTCCTCTCTGTTGTTTTGCTGTTGTAATTTTAGATTTTTTAATACTGGTAGCCAGATTTTGTTCATTTTCATGGTTTCCTCCTTTCTGTTGAAATTGCCCACATGCTTGTGGATTTCAATGGCTTCTCTGTGTAGTCTGACATGGTGGTTGTTGGAATGGTCCAGCATTTCTGTGTTCTCAAATAATATGCTGTGTCCAGGCTGGTTCATCAGGTGCTCTGCTATGGCTGACATCTCTAGTTGAAGTAGTCTGTTCTAAGATGTTCTCCTTAAGCAGCCTTTTGGCTTTTCTCAAATTTATTTCAAATCAATTGTTTTAATCTCATTGCAAGGATATGTATCATATGAGGATTGTTTCTCATAAAAACACAAGTATGTTCTCACCTCACTGTCTAAGTTGATAGTTTCCCTAGGCCTGTCTTTTGCTTATGCTTACATCTCACCTTTGATCAATCTCAAGATTGTATTTTATAAAATCCCAGATGTTCCCCTATCCAGTTGTTTCCCCTACACAAAGCAGCTTAGCCTTAGCAAGGCCATTGCACTTTGTGCCTTCGGAACATGTCCTACAGTTCATTTACACTGTAGAATTAATGCATTTGACCCCACTTTAACTATCATGGCTCAATATCATGAATCTTGGAGAATATACTATCTCAGTCTCCCCTCTCTCAGCCATTAATATTTGGGGGTAGTAACTATGGTATTATTGAACCTATACAAGTTATAAGTTTTTCTGGAAGATTCTTTTAACTGAAAAGTGAGCTTTCTTTTAAAAGAACTTAATTACTCAGTTTAAGTCAAGCTTCCTTCAATCTAAATCAGTGGTTCTCAAACTATGAATCCCCAAATGTTTTGGCCTTCAGCTCCCAGCTGGTAAAGTTGCTGGGATTTCTGGGAGTTATACGCCAAAACACTGGGGACCTACAGATTGAGAACCACTGGTCTAAATTAAAGATCAGTTAAAGTTCCATTCTGCTCTTATGTTTACTTTGAATAATGTACAGATTTGCTATTGCTTTCTTGATGCCATCCATAAATGTCAATTGCAATACTGGCTTCTGCAAATAATCATGGTATCCTTTGGAGGGCAGATTATTTTTTCTGATGTACTACCTCCATTTTCCAACTCTGTTATCCACAGATTTTGATTAAAAAGAGCTATGACCGCACTAAACGTCAGCGTCGCAGGAACTGGAAGCTAAAAGAATTAGAACGAGACCGAGAAGGCATGGATACAGATGATGAAAGGTTGGACACTTGATGTATTTTTTGCTCCACCTCATAATTCCACATGTTAAAACCAGCCTGATCAAACAAAACATTGTGGCCTGCTTCCCTGGCTTCTATTTTTTATCACTTCAGATACACTCTTAACTATATTGCAATTATATTACATTTTAAAGCAATGTACAATATAATAAGATGCATTAAATAACTCTCAACACAATTAGGCCTGCAGCAAAGGAAGAAAAAGCTAGATGCCAGTACCTGTCCGTTTTCTGCATATGTAAGAGCAGCAAAGGGGGAAACATTTAGATGATAAAAATTGAGTGCACTGTGATCTGTCAAGTTCTGATCAGTGCTCTTGTGTTGTATTTGTCTTGTCTTCAGTGCATCCTAATCCCTAATTCTCACAATAGATGTGTTCTCTCACAACTTGTGAGCCTTCATCGTGGAGCTGGGTGTTTGTGTAATAGCTAGGACCAACAATTCAGCATAAAGTAAAATATAAGTCTACACTCTGTTACATATTGGTATTTATTTTTATTTATTTACTTTTCTCCCATGGATGGGACTCAAAGTGGTGAACACATAGTTGATAAATATAGTCCAGGAATTGCTGATCATTTTTAATGTACTTTTTCTAGACAATACCAGGATTTCCTAGAAGATCTGGAGGAAGATGAGACAATTAGAAAAAATGTCAATATTTACAAAAGTAAGTTGCATACCCAAAGTAGTTTGTTTCTTTTTTATATAATACCATATTTACGTGAGTCTAATGCACCATCAAACCTAATGCGCACCTCAATTTTTAATACCCAGTGTAATGCACAACAGCAAAAGGTGCACTCTTTGTAATATGCCCATTACAATTGCCTGCTTACAATTCGTTTAAAAAAAAATAGTGTTAGGAACACTGAAGTTTTCAGCTGAGGAAAAGAAACCCTGGGTGCATCTATGCTGCAAAATGAATTCACTTTAACTGCCTTGGTTCAAATGCTATGGAATAATGGAGGCTGTAGTTTTCCAAGGCCTTGAGTCTTCTTCCAGAGAAGGCTGGTGCCTGATCAAACTACAAATCCCAGGATTACATAGCATTGGGCTATGACAAATTACAAGTGACATCCCTCAAATAGAAACTCCAGGTGTTCCTGAAGTAACTTCCCTATTGTATTGGTTCAGCACTATGATTATCCTATTACGTGAATCTAATGTGCATCCTGATAGGCAAGGTAATTTAGCCCAAAAGGTGAGCACTAGATTCGAATAATATCCAGAAATGTTAAGTATTGCCAACTCTACAGTGTTTTGTACAGTTGGCCATTTAATTTTCATTTCAATTACACCCTTGAATGCTACAGTGTACTTGTCAAACACTATGGAAGTAGTATGCATCAATACAGTTTGCACCAGGAAAATGGGTGGCATGTTGACCTAAGTTCTTTAGGTTTTCCAGCACAACTCTATGGTCAACTGCTGGTGAATGTTAACCATAGAATAAGACCTATCAATTACTACAGATGTGTTCTCTCAACAAATGTGTGTTTTTCACTTTTGTGGGGGTCTTGTGCCCTTAACCCCAGAAAATATAGAGGGTGATGCCCTTTTTATTGATTACAAGCACATGTTTTAAAAGTTAATTTTATGTTATCAGTACGGCAAATAGATAGTTTTTGCATACTTGGAGGGACTTTCTAGATATGAAACAAAAGGTATCATCAGTGTTAAAAATCTTCAGAGAAAGAGTCCACCAACTCCAAGGCAGCATGTTCCACTTTCATATAGCTCTTATCATCACAAAATTCTTACTGATGCTCAGGTGGCCTGGTAGCCGTTGCCCCAAACAGTAAATAATTCCAAGACTTAGTATGCCATATGGCTTGCTTCCTTTGGCCTGAGTGGCCTGCTATGGGTTTCCTTCAGTCTAGGTCTTGAAATTGGAAGGAATGTTGAGGCTGAGTACCATAGGTGCTGTAAGAAGAGCTGCCCCATTAGTTGCCTTAAAAGTGTTGAGAAGTGTTGGAGGGAAAAAGCATTTTGTCTAATCTTAATTAACCCCAATTCTCCAAACGTTATTTGTATTACGAAAGGAGAGCGGGGGAACACCTAGTAGCTTAAAACTATTCTGGATCAGAGCTGTGGTATGAAATGAGAAGTGAAATGTACATGCCGTCTCCACTTTAAAGTGAAAAAATTCCTAATTAGTGGCTAATTAGATTGGAAAATCTTTTGACCCCAGTTAATCCTGACCATGCACTAAGGCGATACATGGCTTTGGTGTGAGCTACAAAGCAAATTACCTATTAATTGTGAAGTTCAGTTATTCTGCTAAGAAGAATGGGGTGGTTGGAAGTATAATGCTGTTAGGGCAGGAGGGGCGTGAAATTTTAAAGTAAAGACATCACATTTTACTATAACCACCCCAGTTCCACATTTGATTCTCTCTGGATTAAGTAATCTTTGTTTTTTGAGATATTATCTTGCTTTTTCGTGTTGCAGATTCAGGCATTCCAGTGGAAAGCGACACAGATGATGAGGGCATTCCTCGGATCAGTCTTGCTGAAATGTTGGAAGATCTCCAGATATCTCAAGATGCTACTGGTGGAGAGGGTGCTGAAATGTTGACAGAATAGTAAGGGATATTACGAAGGTGAATACTTTTTCTCTTAGGAAAAAAGTCGTAACTACAAAAATTAGTTGCGTTTCAGTCATACACTCAACATGCAATATTGAAAAATGTTCAACAGTAAATCCTAATGGAAACAATAATAAAGGTTGGGAAATAGAGTAAATCTGGAGTGCTTTCAGAAGATGTGTGTTTATTTTTCAGTAATTACTAAAGTTTGTGTATCACTGTTGAAAATCAATTTAGCACAATGGTTTCAGTGTTGGATTGTAATGCAGAATTTGAGTCCCTGCTCAGCTATGGAGACTCATTGGGTGGCCTTAGGCAAGTCATACCCTCTCAGTGGAGCCCCCAGTGGCACAATGGGTTAAACCCTTGTGCTGGCAGAACTGCTGACCTAAAGGTTGGTAGTTCGAACCTGGGAAGTGGAGTGAGCTCCCATCTGTCAGCTCCAGCTTCTCGTGTGGGGACATGAGAGAAGCCTCCCACAGGGTGGTAAAACACCTGGACATCCCCTGGGCAACGTCCTTGCAGATGGCCAATTCTCTCACACCAGAAGCAAATTGCAGTTTCTCAAGTTGCTCCTGACATGAAAAAAAACCCTCTTAGTCTCAAAGATTGCCCAAAAAAATCCCATGGTAGGATTGCCATAAGTCAGAAACAACTTGAATGCACATAACAAATTTCACTTCTAAATTTGTACATGCATCAATATTGGTGTCTGTAACTCGGAAGGTAGGGTTCATTGGTGCATATTAGATATAGCTCCCAGAAAGTTGTGAAAATGTTCTAATGTATTCTAAGCTAAATGTATTTCGCTGAAATGGCAAATTTGACAGGGCAGATCAGAAAATAACTGAAGCTTTAATTACTCCAGGAAGTGAATGCCTGGCCTGCTTTTAAAAATATTTTACTATGATTCAGTAGCTGGCTAGAATATAAGTCCTAACAGCAATAAATGAAGTTGCTTTTAGTATAATTAGCTACTAATGCTGCATGGGTTAGACACTCCTCTTACAATTTCATATCTTATCACTGTTCCTAAGATTCAAGTCATTGAACAGTTTTCTGTGTCAATATCACAACAAGAAGGTTTAGACAACCAGGCAGGGAGTGGCTACAGCCTCTGTGGGAGGAGTGGCCACTGTAGCCTGATGAGACAAGTTTTAGCAACCAATTCACTGTTTTAATATCAAGCAAAATGGCAACAGGCTCTATTGATGGTGAAAAGTAGATTCCAAGGAGTTGGGAGATGTTTAGGAAATACATGTTGCACTTTGCTCATGCTTTACAGAGCCTTTGTAAGTCTGAGAATCAAAAATGCATCTGTCTGGAAGCAGGTTTAAATCATGTTGTAACCTAGTTTTTCAGTCTAAGCCAATACTTAGGATGTGGCATTTTAAAAAGAATTTAACTTTTTAGCTTCTTGATATGACTACAGTATTATTGCCTTTCCTATTCATGCAGAAGCAAACCATTACAGCATGTCCTTAATAAAAGTATGCCATACTTTAAAGTCATTACTGCTGTGTTTTGTTGCCTAGCAAATAATGCAAAAGTACTCCTGTTGCTTTCTTATTTGTTATTTCCCTGTGTGCTCAAGCTATTCTTTAAATAATAGTCAAGAAGTCCTTTTGCATTACTTCACGAACTGGGTTTTAGATGCCTAGGCACAGCTTTGAGAACATTTATTCAGGGTTAAGTACACCAATAAATGAGGCAATAAAATTTCCCAACTCCATGGCTGCAGTCCAGTAATGTGATAGTAATGGCGTTGCGTCTTTGTGAGTGAAGTTAGGATATAAAAACCTAAGAAAATAAGCTTTATAACATCTTTGTCCTGTGCCTGTGATGAAGCCATTTATTATGTTATACAAGCAACATATTTCAGGAACGACTACTTCAACCATTTCTGTTAGAGTCCGATCTCTATTCCAGTTTTTCTGTCATTCCCACATCTGTGTTCTCAGAGCAACACTGAATGTAGCAAGGCAGTATTGGCAATTGCATTCAATCCATATTTGAATTTAAATTCATGATTTTTCCTATCGGTTTTTCAGCAAGTTGATTATTTTTGCCCACTTTTTTCTGTCCCAACTAGAAGCTCAATTCATAAATTTGGAAGCCACATCTGCCCCCTGCCTATTTCACAGCTTCTAGGAATATTACAGAATTTCCTGTACATTTTATTTTAAAGCAAACATATTTTCATTTTAAAATTAGTGTTTTCTTTCAACAAGCACAGGATCTGATAGTGGTACATTATGATCTGGAAAGATTTGCTCTGGTTACACCAAACTTGTCCATAAGTAAAGGGAAAGGTTTTCCCCTGACATTAAATATAGTTGTGTCTGACTCTGGGGGTCGGGGGTGCTCATCTCAATTTCTAAGCCGAAGAGCCAACGTTGTCCATACACACCTCCAAGGTCATGTGGGCAGCCTGACTGCATGGAACACTATTACCTTCCCACAGAAATGGTACCTATTGATCTACTCACATTTGCATGTTTTCAAACTGCTAAGTTGACAGAAACTGGGGCTAAGAGCAGGAGCTCACCCCACTCCCTGGATTCAAACCACCAACCTTTTGGTCAGCAAGTTCAGCAGCTCAGCAATTTAACCTGCTGCACTACCAGGGACCATATTTGTTTTAATTTAGGACACTTAAAATCTGTATAGTTTGTTTCTGTGTATCAGTCTTATGTCTTGTACAACTGGAGTGGCTGAGTTTACTCTTACATGGTCTCTGTTGCTTAACTAAAAACCCATTAACTTATTCTTAATTTACATCTTCCACAAAATAGGAGTGTGTCACTTCAGTAGTTGACCTACTTTCTCCTGAAAATTCATTCTTGGCTTGGGAACCAAAGTGGTTTTGATCAGCCCCAAGTCAATGTGTCCAACAATTTCAGACATCAAATGTCCCAACAAAAATTGATATGTTTTCCAAGTTTTATGCTAGTTCATTGTGTGCAGCATAGCACGTACCAAACTGTTTCAATGTATTGCCTAATATGTCCGCAATAAAAAGGCCTGTTACACTTGGCAACTGAGTAGTCATAAATTAGAATGAGAGGTTCAACAATTCAGCAGTAGAACTCATGGTCTTTATCTGTCAAGGAATCGAATATCAAATACAGACAGTGCCCAAGTTAAACATCCAACTCACAATCAATTCAATAACGAGGGTGAGACAATAGAAAGTGAGAGAAATCTACCCCTTGAAAGGGAAATTCACTCCTGTTATTATCATGGCGAAAAGGTTTCCACTGAAGCTTTATCACCAATCTTTGTTTTCATAACAAGCTACTTTTTTCAAAATCCAATTCTCACAGGGATAGAAAGTGAGGTGAAATCTTCTGAACAGGGGCACACACAGCAAACACCCTTCCTTGTGCTATCCAAAGTTTACATACAGTGCTTGGAGAAAACCTATGCAGCACCCTCACAAGTTGCTGCAGGCAGACATTTAAGATGAGTTGCGCCAATTTGACTCAATACAGGGCTGCTTCATACGTTCGTATATGCTAAATTGCTCTAAATATAAAAGCACTTTCTTTTGTTGGTCTCTTATTTAGTTCAGAAAATGCAGCTGTTAAGCAGAGTACTTTATTAAAATCAGTTTTCAGTACATTTGGAGGAGAAATGGGAAGCAAAGATTTCAGCCCAAAGAGCATTTTAATTTCAGCAATTTTCCTTCAAAGTATATTCATGCAAAATTTAACAGTAGTTTGGTCCTATGCATATAGGTTGATACTGAGTGCATTAGAAAAAGCTGAGTACACATCAAAATAATTGATATGAATTATCACATTATAGTGTATGTTCTTCAAAACCCCAAATCAACCTGTCTAGTTTAGTAAAAAGGGTTTGTTTTGGGATTGGGGCAGGCTATTCAAGCCATCAGATTGGGTGTGTTTTCTTTCTTTGGATACATTACTACACAAAAACTTTATGTGGGTTCAGGAGGAAGATGTAACATTCCAGAAAGGCAGTCGTTTGTTGAAAACCATCACTCCACCCGCTTGGGCTTTTTTTCTGGCTGGAATCCTGCATTCATGAGTGCTTGCTAATAAATGCTTATTATGATAATCAAGTTTGCAGACGACATCAAATTCGGAGGGATAGCTAATACTCCAGAAGACTGGAGCAGAATTCAAAACGATCTTAACAGATTAGAGAGATGGTCCAAAAGTAACTAACAGGGACAAATGCAAGATACTCCACTTAAGCAGAAAAAAATGAAATGCAAAGATACAGAATGAGGGATGTCTGGCTCGACAGCATTAGGTGTAAAAAAGATCTTGGAGTCCTCGTGGACAATAAGTTAAACATGAGCGAACAATGTCTCATGTGGCGGCAAAAAAGTCAATGGGATTTTGGCCTGCATAAATACGACCATAGTGTCTAGATACAGGGAAGTCATGCTACTCCTCTATTCTGCCCTGGTCAGACCACACCTAGAATACTGTGTCCAATTCTGGGCACCGCAGTGTAAGGGAGATGTTGACAAGCTGGAATGTGTCCAGATGAGGGCAACTAAAATGATCAAGAGTCTGGAGAACAAGATCTAAGAGAAGCAGCTTAAAGAGCTGGGCATGTTTAGCCTGAAGAAGAGAAGACTGAGAGGAGATATGATGACCATGCATAAATACATGTGAGTAAGTCATAGAGGGGAGGGAGCAAGCTTGTTTTCTGCTGCCCTGGAGACTAGGACGCAATGGAACAATGGCTTCAAACAACAAGAAAGGATATTCCACCTGAATATTAGGAAGAACATTTCCTAACTGTGAGAGCTGTTCAGCAGTGGAACTCTCTGCCCCGGAGTATGGTGGAGGCTCCTTCTTTGGAGGCTTTTAAACAGAGGCTGGAGGGCCATCTTTGATGGATGGCCCATGAGGTCTCTTCCAACTCTATGAGTATGATCCTATGTTCTAGATGCAATGCTAAAATATGTGACAAGGAATTCACTGGTAAAGTTTACAACCAAAGACACTGGAGGAAGACAAAAGGGAGAAGATTCAGTTTGTGAAGGTTCTGAAAGACGCCTGAATATCAAGTTGACATTAGTTGCTGCTTAAGAAGGGAGAGGCACTGGGATAGCTTTGTTTCTTGAATTTCTGCCTCCCAGCCTTGTCAGGGCGAAAAAAGAATGTGGCAACTTTGCTATGGAAATTGCAATGAAAGCTGAATCATGATGTGTATTATGTGAGATAATGAAGATATACACATCTTTCATAATAGTAACACAAATGATGCAGTGCCCTTTGTTCCTCCCTAGGTATTATCTGTGGCCACTTTTTACAAGATGCAATTTAAATGTTAATTTTTAAAATATATGTGTTAATTAAATACATGCAAAAAAGGTTTAATTCAGGTATTAAAATGTATCCACTTAGACATAAAACTTAACGAAATATGCCCTGGTTTTTGTCTCATTACTCATGGTAGGAGGGAGTTGTTTTTTTTGTTTTGTTTTGTTTGTTTTGTTGTTCTTTTTGGAAGAGAAGCACATTGATAAAATAGTGCAAGAGCCCATGCAAAGCATATAAACCAAACAGTTCTGATTTTTCAACTAGTGCATCTGCAGTACCTGGTTTCTGGAAATAATGCATATATAATAATATAAAATGTAATATCATACAAGATCATCTTCTGGTTTGCTGGTGATGCTCTTAAGGGAGATGGAAACTTAACTCCTTGCATGATGGACTAAATTGTAAGAGGTAGCCACACATTCTGCCTTCCCATCACTAACTCATCCAGGACTGATTTTCCCCTTGGGGATGTATTATAGTTATATGATATGCAGAAGATCCCATTTTGAATTTTTAGCTTCACCATTCAAAATGCAATACTGAGAGTTATTATGTGTTTACGTAAAGGTGCGGAGAAGGGAGACTGTTTCTGGAGGGATGGTCTCTGAAGGTCGTGATGGGGGACTCCTTGGCCAGGTAGCTGTAATGAATAACGGCAAATAAATTGGATCTTAATCTAGACAAGACAGAGGTGCTTCTGGTCAGTCAAAAGGCAATAGGAATTCAGCCTGTGTTAGATAGGGTTACGTCCTCCCTAAAAACACAGATGTTCAGTTTGAGGTTACTCCTGGATTCAGCTCTGAACCTGGAGGCCCAGATATCAGCAGTGACCAGGAGTGCTTCTGCACTGTTAAAGCTAGTGCACCAACTGTGCCCATTCCTTGAGAAGTTAGATCTGGCCACAGTGGTACATGTCTTGGTTACATCCTGTTTGGACTACTGTAATGCATTCTACATGGGGCTGCCTTTGAAAAGTGCTCAAAAACTTTCATTGGTCTAAAGAGGAGCATTCAGACTGCTAACTGGGGCTGGCTATGGAAGCGGACAATTCCTCTGTTGCAACAGCTCCACTGGCTGCCAGCATATTTCCAGGCACAATTCGAAGTTCTGGGTTTGACCTACAAGCACTATATGGCTCTGTTCCAGGTTATCTGAAGGACCATATCTCTTTATATGAACCTGGGAGACATCTACAATCTATAAGGGAGGGCCTTCTCACTGTCTCACCACCCACTCAAGCACGCTTGGTGAGATCACAGGAGTGGGCCTTTTCAGTGGCTGCTCCTAGACTGTGGAACTCCCTCCCAAGAGAGATCGGGATGGCCTCATCCTTGCTGGCCTTCTGAGGCAGGTCAAAACCTTCTTCTGCCAGTAGGCATTTGGGAAAGGGTAAGGGGCAGTTTTTGGGGTGGTTGTGGGCAGGATGTGGGGGAGGGCTGTGAGTTTTAAAGACTAATTTAAGTGTATTTATTATATTTTAATCTGTTTTTACCACACTGTATTATCTAATGTTTTTTTACTGCACTTTTTAAAACTTTGAGCAAAGTGTGGATTGTCAGCCACCTTGAGTCCCCATGGGGGAAAAATTGGGTATAAATAAAGTAAAGATATAAAGAAATAAAATGATTGCTCACCCAATAAACAAATGCAGAGCAAAATAGAGAGTGGCCTGTTGTGGAGGTGAGAGATGCACAATCCTGAAACAGCTAGCACAACCCAGACAATTTTTAGAGTATTAACTGAAGTTTGCAATCTGATACCTGCTCAGCCTTCCATGTTCCCTCTGACATATCTACAAGTTTATGAAGCCCAAATACCTAGAACTTAACATGTATGCTATGGAAACACTAAGCATGTGCAGCTCAGTAATTTTGTTTTTTAATAGATGGATTATATCTGTTTGCAGCTTGCAATACCATCTTCCCTAACCAACTAAGGGGAAATGATAATTAGGTGGAGTAGAAGGACTGAAAGGGTGTCAGGTGGGTTGGAAATCGATATTCCAACCTCTACAAAATTGGATATTTCTGTGAGTTGTTTTTTATGTCCCTTCAATTCAGTTCTGTTCTGTTGTGTCTTAGGGGTTTTTTTTAGCATGATTTGTTCAGAAGGAGGTTGTCATTGCTTTCTTCTTAATCTCAGAAAATGTGACTGACTCAAGATCATTCAGTGGATTCTATGGCTGAGCAGACACTCCAGACTCCTAGCCCTACACTCAAAGCACTATACCACACTGTTAGTTCATTCGATGATTTCTTGGGAGAAGGATGATGGTATCCTTCTGGACTTCCGAAGGTCATCCAGAGGCCTAGGAAGATGATGTGGTCTTCATATGTTGGGCTTCAAAAAAACAGCTGGATGCTGCCTTGTTCTCTCCTGTCCTCCAGCAGCCATTGGGTAGAATGGACAGCAAAACTCCAGTAGCTGGAAAATACATTGCATATATGGGTAGAGGAGAAGGGAGCAATGTTATACCTGGGAAACAGCTTTTCCTTTTATAGGTATTATGCAGTATCCTATCAAGTGTTTCAACTGAATAGTATTTAAACAAAAAGAGGAGGTTTGGGGGCTGAATTTGAAGTGGGGGTCGCTGTGTTTTGAGGACACATTATTTCCAAGTGCAAGTTCTCCTTTATGTTCTGCTTCTCCTACCTTTGGAAAAATCTAGTTAATTCAAAATCTTTCCAATGTTTGTACTGTCCTCTGATATAATATAACAGCAGAAAAAAACAACAGAATAGGCAGATGTACTAACAGCTTGTAAGAGAATCAAATCTGGAGACTAAAATATAATTAAGTCATCTGCATAATATAGGCAATACCATATAATTATAGAGCAAAGGTGATGAAAAGCATAAAATGAAGGGGATCTGTCATAGAAACCAAAACAAAAACAAAAACCCAGAGTGACACCCATGTTGTAGAAAAGGTTGGACAGATCAAAAGTATACCAGAGAGAAAGAAAATCCCAGAAACCATTTATACAAAAATGACAAAAGGGTAATAGCATCAGTCATATAAAAAGCAAGGAAAGGTTCAGGAAGAGACCAGAAAATAAATAATGTAGTGTTGGTAGGGAAAAAAAATATTAATAGAATGAATGAACAAGATGAAAGAACAGGTTAGATTAGTAAGGATCAAAAAGAAGATGAAAGTCATTCAAAGCATTGGGTAAATGACAAATGTATTTCCCTGGAGGGGGAAGAGAAGCAGGAGGAAAAACAACTGGCTTAAAATTGAGAGAAAAATCTCCAGATATAAAAGAAAATTTAAAAACATTTTGTTGCAGTACCATGTATACACTTTCAGAATACACTCTCCAGGCTGGTATAAAAGAAAAAAATAAAAGTGATAGGGCAGGGTCCAGAGCTAAATCCAATGTGTCCCTAAGAATAGATCTATTGGAATGAACATAGCTGAGATCAATATTCAAAAGGATCTTGTAGCATCTTTGAAACTAAGAGAGAAAACGCTGGTAGCATGAGCTGCATAAACAGGTCTACTTCCCAAAATGCAACAGATCAGATGTATGCGATGAGTAGACTTATATCTACAAATGCTTTCACTACCAATGTCTTTTTCTCAGTTTCAAAGGTGCTACAAGATACTGACAACCCTGCCTACTAAAAAGGAACTGACTTGTCAGTTACCGCTGCTGTAAACTCAGTTGATTTTTGATTGAGATAATCAAATTGTGGCTAAAACCAAATTTGGTCATATACTTTTATATCATCTGGAGGATGAGCCTATCAGCACCTATATGATTGTCACACACTTTATATATATAGGAAATGCCCTAATTTATGAACGAGAGAAAGAAGTGAATGGGAAATGGAGTGACCTGATCTACTTAAGCTTGTGTACACAGGCAGGAAGAAGTAAGCAATGTGCTTGTCACAAAAATGAGTGTTTTTCAGGTGGGGTGAGATATTAATCACCAGATTTGTGATTAGGAATAACTTTTTTATTGATATGCATACATTGGATATATAAAATAGCTAACAGTTTTATTATTTCGACCCCTAATAATTCATAATACTCTAGTAGAATAGTCTGTTGGAGGTTTATACAGTATATCTGTGGAATGTCCAGGGTGGGAGAAAAAAATCTTGTTTCCTTGAGGCAAGTGTGAATGTTGCAATTGGCCAGCTTGATTAGCATTGAATGGCCTTGCAGCTTCAAAGCTTGGCTGCTTCCTGTCTGTGGAATCCTTTGTTGGGAGGTGTTAGCTGGCCCTGATTGTTTCCTGTCTGGAATTCCCCTGTTTTTTTTAAAGTGTTCTTTATTTACTGTCCTAAGTTTTTTTTTTAATACTGGTAGATTTTGTTCATTTTCATGGTTTCCTCCTTTTTGTTGAAATTGTCCACATGCTTCAATGGCTTCTCTGTGTAGTCTGACATGGTGGTTGTTACAGTGGTCCAGCATTTCTGTGTTCTCAATTAATGTGCTGTGTCCAAGTTGGTTTATCAGGTGCTCTGCTATGGACAACTTCTCAGGCTAAAGTAGTTTGCAGTGCCTTTCATGTTCCTTGATTCATGTCTGGGCAATGCTGCTGCTTTTGATGGCCCCTATGTAGACTTGTCCACAGCTGCATGTTATGCGGCAGACTCCTGCAGAGGTGAGAGGATCCCTCTTCCAACAGACCTCACAACCTCTGAGGATGCCATAGATGTGGGCAAAACGTCAGGAAAGAATGCTAGTGGGAACATGGCCATACGATCCAGAAAACTCACAGCAACTTATTTAGTTCCGCATTCTTCAATGGTCTTTTCATACATGTTTTTAATCATGTATATTTGCATTTTCTCTTTTCCATCTTTCCTTTTTTTCTGCTATCTCTTTCTTTCACCATTACTCAGAACTATGTAGTTTGAGATTCACACCCCACACCCCTTTTCGTCTCCATGATTCACAAATTAGTTGCCAGAACCAGCAAACCCATACAGTAATGCAAGATGAAATTGAACCAGGGAAAGAAACACGAGCACGTGCTTTAAAATGTTTCCATTTAGACAAATACAGTGATACTACACAAAAAGGTTCCCTCATACATACAGTATCCTCATTACTGCAAAAAGAACTGAAAAGCCAGATGCAGATGAGGAGGAATAAATATATATGCTGTGAAGACCAACATGGAAAAAAGAGTGGCAGTGACAACATGTGCTATCATTTGCTCCCAGGGCTCAAAGTCAATGCAGCAAGTGATCAGCATGTATTGAAAATAAAGGTAATAGATATAATCCTTTAGGCGTTTCATGATTGTTCGTCCATTTGACAGTTGCTTCTGGAAGTTTGTCCTAGGAGATCAACAAAGTATAGATGATATCAGTTAAACTGTGACTCAAAGAAAAAAAAAGGATGTGACAGAAAGTTCTGTTGGGTTATTGGTTCTGTTCAGTTACATTTTCTTTAGCCATGTTTACTCCCCTTCAAATTTCAAGTAGTGACTATTCACTGTAAATGTCTCCTGCACAAATTCAGTGGAAATAAGAGGGGGCAGCTACTAAAGCAAAGATGTGTTGTGTATATGGAGCCCTATACATTGATTTACTCTCTTGGAAGAGATACAATAGTTTAAAGATTTTTGGATGGAAGGGGCACAACTAATTGAAATATCTCTTAAGTTGCAAAGAAAACAACACCTGGAGAGTCACACATTTCCCAGTACTGACTTAAAATGATCTGCTTCTTAGATGTAAAACTGTGCAATTAATACATTATCACAAAAATATGACAACTTACAAACTCCTCAAACAGCCATCCCCATGTGTGTGATATTGACTCTAGAAGCCTTGTTGACTCATGATCACTTTGTGAATTTCACAGCATTTCATTAGAGAAGGAGGTGCTTTTTCCAGTTTATTATTCTGAAAGATAGCCAATATCACTTGAGATTCGATGGCAGTCTCTCATCTAAGTTCTAATCAGGGCTGATCCACTTAGCCTTCAAGATCAGACATGATCTGGTGCCATCTGCATATGTCATGGCAACACTATGCAACTCACATGTAGAATACCAATGCTGAATAACTGGGTGCCACTGTGCAATGCATAATACACAGCTGCAATACAAAAAGTAGGATGTGAACTTGCAAAAACAAGGTGTAAAGAAATTTGCTGTCTGCAGCTTTGCTTCTGTTTCTACCATCAGATTGCATCTATTGTGCAATGGCAACTTTTTGGCTCTACGCATATCGTGTTACTTACTCATATATTCCTAAGTGTATTCTGGGCATAGTGATTTTGCACCACTGAGATGCTGGAATACAGTCCTGCTAGATATCCTGGGAACTATTGTTTTGGTATAGAAATCCAGGGCTATATTTGCTATAGCTGCAACTATTCATAACATTGTTAGAGCTATGGTAGTCCACGCTCTGGTTACATCCCGAAAAGACTATTGCAACGCGCTCCATGTGGGGTTGCCTTCGAAGACTGTTCGGAAGCTTCAAATAGTCCAACGGACAATAGCCAGGTTGATCACCGGAGCAGTGTAAAGGGAGCATACAACCTCCCTGTAGCATCAGCTCCACTGGCTGCCAAAGTGCTACCAAGTACAATTCAAAGTGCTGGCTTTAGCCTATAAAGCCCTAAACTGTCCTGGCCCAGCTTACCTGTCCAAACGTATCTCCTCCTGTGAACCACCTAGGAGATTAAGATTGTCGGGGGAGGCCCTGCTCTTGGTCCTGCCACCTGCACAGACGCATCTGGTGGGAACGAGGAACAGGGCATTCTCAGTGGTGGCCCCTCAGCTGTAGAACTCCCTCCCCAGCGACCCAGAGATATTAGAGCAGCTCCCTCCCTCCTGGCCTTCAGAAGGAAAGTGAAAACTTCACTCTGGGGGTCAAGCCTTTGGAGATTTAACTACAGTACAAAATAACTACAAAATATGTGCAATGATTTTTGGAATGGCCCCAGATTATGATTGTGGATTACGATTCATAGTGATTATAATGTTTTAATGTGCATTTTAACTCCAATTGTTAATTTTTTTAAATTTTAGTTTTTAACTTACATGTATTTAATTGTTTGTCCTCTAAAGGCATCAAATAGTTGCCATTTGTAAAGCCACCTTGAGTCCCCTTCAGGGTAGAGAAAGGCGGGATATAAATAGAGTAAATAAGTAAATAAATTAGAGCTATGCGTTGTGTGTATATACATGCACAGAAAGATTTGTTTGCTTTCAAACAAAACAACAAAGCAGTGGTTTCCAAGCAAAACAATTTCTGATCAGGTTCTCATCATCACCCATCTGGGGCAAAAAAATAATAGGCAAAATCCTATCCAGCAGGGCTGGCCTTGAATTATACTTCCAAACCAAAAGCTAACAGAAGAAATCTGTATACATCAATATATTATTGGTACAAGATTATTCCTAATGCATAAGTCCCATATTACCTGTATCGGGTAACAATTTCCTGAAAGTCGATCATTCTCACAGTTTCTAGGAAACAATGAAAAACATAGGAATCATTGTAAAAATGCTAAAAAAAATCTTGCAATAAAGTAGCAGAACTACTTGGGTTTATCAGCAATGTACTAAAAAGTTTAATACAAACAAGAAAGTGAGGAGCTGCTGTGTAACTATCTTTATCAGCAAAGAAGAGCCAGAAACAGCAACATCTTCATACAATTGGAGGCACTTCACGAGCAGCTTAGCTACATTCACAGTGAGCAATGAGGGATTGGTTTTCCCTGTCAGGATCTCATACAGTGCTCATTTATCCATTTCACTAAGAATAGTCGTCTACATTTCAAAGTGTCTTGAAGATTACTATTTCCCCATCCTGTGTCTCATATCAGGCTATACCAGTACATTTAACCATGCCAAAACTGGGCCAAATTTTAAAAAAATGTCTGCATTTTGAGTAGATATATGAATTATAGGCTAGATATGGAAGAGAGTTAGAAGCAAATCACATTGTTTTGGGCACATTCTGAGCACTTGGGGGGGGGTCACCAGAAAAACCCAGATAATTTAAGTGATTTGCCAGTTTCTACCAGGCTACCGAGCTCAATTCAAAGTGCTAGCTTTGGCCTATAAAGCCCTAAACAGTTCTGGCTCAACTTACCTGTCTGAACATATCTCCCGCTATGAGCCAGCTAGAGTGTTAAGATCTGCTGGGGAGGCTCTGCTCTCGGCCCCACTCCCATCACAAGCATGATTAGTGGGGACGAGAGACAGGGCCTTCTCAGTGGTGGCCCCTCAGCTACGGAACTCCCTCCCCAGTGACATCAGACTGGCTTCCTCCCTCCTGGTATTCAGGAAAAGCTTAAAGACTTTGCACACAGGCGTTCAGGGAGTAGTGCCATATGGAATCCGATTTGAATGTAGCAGCTGTTTTTAACTTGCTTTATTGTATTATGTTTTAACAGCTCCTTTGAATAGAGAGATCATGAGAAATTATGGTTTCCTTTGTAAGAGATTGAGGTGCCACCATATCTGATTGTGCTGATGTGTAATGTGCACGAGGCTACTCCCTAGACACAATGTGGGGAAAGAATGCTTTCAAATGCTAAAGGAATCTGAGGAAAATATTATATGGAAAGTAGGAAGAAATTCAGAAGAAGGAAACGAACATTCAAGGAAGTCATATTAACAATTTAAGACAGGAGATGACCCCTGTTACTAAGAGAAAATATCAAAGGCTTAAAATGACTACTGATAAAAGTTAAGGACAAAAGTGCAAAAGTAGGTTTACAGCTGAAAACTGAAGGGGAAAATGACCCCAGATTATTCATATAATTTTGAGGTGGGTGATAAAGTCATTGAAATAAGAGGATTTTTTAAATAACTTATCTGTTGTTAATAAAATGAGAGTGTAATCAATAAATTAGAAGACGGTCGAGATTTGGAAAGGAAGATGTGAAGCTAAAAAGCACAGCATGGATAGAAAAGTTAAAATGTCACTACAAGAAATTGGGAATTAGGCATCTCGAATTGTCTCCCTATTCTCAATCATTTGTCAGTTGCTAATCCTTTCGGTGTGACAGTGGTCTTAGATATAAAGCAATCTCATGATCACAAATCATTCATTCTGTTCCTCTAGCTGCTAGCCTTAGAGTCCTGGCATGATCAAGGCTTGGGAAACAAAGTTAAGGCCATAGTAGAGTTTAATTACTTAAGCTCTGTCAAAAAGGCAAGCCCTAAAGCAAAGTCAAAATACAGTGCAAGGCTAAAGAAAACAGCGTCCATCCAGAAAGCAGGTAAAGTTAGTGAAGGCGATTCAGAAGCCAAGAAACCTAGAGTTCAAACCACTAAATCCCAATTAAGAGATCTAGCTGATGAAGTGTCACTCACATTTCAGGCACATTTCAAGCACACAGGGCTATTTTATCGTGTAAGAAGCTTGGCTTTATATTAAATATCCTTTGATGTGGCTATAAGAAGGTCCTCCATTATGCATGTGGCAGGGCCCAGACTGCATTGTAATAGGTGGTCTGTGGTTTGCTCTTCTCCACGCTCGCATGTCGTGGATTCCACTTGGTGGCCCCATTTCTTAAGGTTGGCTTTGCATCTCGTGGTGCCAAAGTGCAGTCTGTTCACCGCCTTCCAAGTCAGCCGGTTTTCTGTGTGCCCAGGAGGGAGTCTCTCATTCAGTATCAACCATGGCTTGAGGTTCCAGGTTTTATTTTGCCACTTCTGGACTCCCGCTTGCTCAGCTGTTCCTGCAAGTATCTCTGTAAATCTTAAAAAACTGGATTGTTGTAGGTTTTTTCGGGCTATATGGCCATGGTCTAGAGGCATTCTCTCCTGACGATTCACCTACATCTATGGCAAGCATCCTCAGAGATGGTGAGGTCTGTTGGAACTAGGAAAAATGGGTTTATATATCTGTGGAATGACCAGGGTGAGACAAAGGACTCTTGCTTGCTGGAGCTAGGTGTGAATGTTTCAACTGACCACCTTGATTAGCATACAATGGCCTGACTGTGCCTGGAGCAAACTTTTGTTGAGAGGTGATTACATGTCCTTGTTTGTTTCCTCTCTGTTGTTGTGCTGTTGCAGTTTTAGAGTTTTTAATACTGGTAGCCAGATTTTGTTAATTTTCATGGTTTCCTCCTTTCTGTTGAAATTGTCCACATGCTTGTGGATTTCAATGGCTTCTCTGTGTAGTCTGACATGGTGGTTGTGAGAGTGGTCCAGCATTTCTGTGTTCTCAAATAAAATGCTGTGTCCAGGTTGGTTCATCAGGTGCTCTGCTATGGCTGACTTCTCTGGTTGAAGTAGTCTGCAGTGCCTTTCATGTTCCTTGATTCGTGTTTGGGCACTGCGTTTGGTGGTCCCTATGTAGACTTGTCCACAGCTGCATGGTATACGGTAGACTCCTGCAGAAGTGAGAGGATCCCTAAAAACTATTTCTTGATTTAAGGCGTTGGTGTGCTGGCTGGTATCCGAACAGGGGATGGGCCGGAGATGTCACTCCCTTGGTCCTTTCATTGTTGGCTGCTACTTCCCAGATGTAGCAGCCAACAAGATGCCAGGTGGTGCAATACTGGATAAACAGTGTAATTTCTCCTGTGGTGTGGGGCGTAGACATCTTGTGATAATGCAGCATGTCTCATTAAGAGCCACATCCACTGTTTTAGCGTGGTGAGATGTGTTCCACACTGGGCATGCGTATTCAGCAGCAGAATAGCAAAGCACAAAGGCACTTCACTGTGTCTGGTTGCAATCCCCAGGTTGTGCCAGTCAGCTTTCGTATGATATTATTTCTAGCACCCACTTTTTGCTTGATAGTCAAGCAGTGGTTCTTGTAAGCCAGAACATGGTCCAGGGTAACTCCTAGGTAAGGTTGCATTCATGTGATCTTGTCCCAGGTTACGTTAACTCAGGGGAAAGCCCAAATCCTGATCCAGGGCTGTCAAGGCAACTGGCCAGTTCCTAACTGAAACTGGTGGGAGCCCTGGGATATGGGATGTTAGTTCCCTGTCATTCCATCCTCATGTTGCCACTGTCTCCAGTCACACACTCTACCTACCACTTCTTAAGTGCTGTGGCTGACATCAGAAAGAGATGTGGCAATGGAAGAAGGAGAGGGGGTCTTCCTCTATCCCACTACCAGCTTCCTTAGTGCATGAGCACTTTGGCTGATGTCAGCCAGAGTGCCATAGAGCAAAATAGGGCAGTAATTTACCACCACAGTTAGAGGATCGCAGCTTGATTGAGTCTGAATTGATGTTTTAATATGTGCATGTGTTTTATTTTATTGTATTTTATATTGTGTTCACTTTTATGTTTGTTTTTAAGCACTTTGTGTTGTGTGTAAACTGCCCCGAGTCCCTTCGAGGTGGCAGGATATAAGAATAAAGTTATTTAAAAAGTTATTATTATTAAAATAGGTGGGATGTCATGGATTGGGAAAGCCATGACATTGGGGGCAGGGGGAATCCCTAGGGTGGTTGCTCAATGGATCTGAACCATATTTGGCATGGCTAGACAATTGGGACTCCCTGCCACCTCTGAAGCAGTTCAGAAAGACGATATCTGGACACCATGCAGGCCCAATTCAGAGTCATGGAGATTGGATTGAGCCAGCATTTGTAAATGTAGAAGGGACCTTGTTGTTTCTTCCCCCAATATGTGCTAAACTAACTGACCTGGGGAGGTGGTATAAAAAGTCTGATTGTATTGGGAGCTGACAAAAACATTCTAGAATAAACAAATGAGGTGCTCTAAGTTAGCGTTTCTCAACCTGGGGATCGGGATCCCTGGGAGGCTCACGAGGGAAGTATTAGAGGGGTCACCAAAGACCATCAGAAAATACAGTGTTTTCTATTGGTCATGGGGGTTCTGTGTGGGAAATCTGGCCCAATTCTATTGTTGGTGGGGTTCTGAATGATCGTAGGTGAACAATAAATCCCAGCAACCCAAATGCCACCAGTGTTCATTTGGCCATATTGAGGATCCGTGCCAAGTTTGGTCCAGATCCATAATTGTTTCAGTTCACAGTGCTCTCTGGATATAAGTGAACTGCAACTCCAAAATTCAAGGTCAGTGCCCACCAAACCCTTCCAGTATTTTCTGTTGATCATGGGAGTTTGTGTGGGAAGTTTGGTTCAATTCCATTGTTGGTGGAGTTCAGAATGCTCTTTGATTGTAGGTTACCTATAAGTCCCAGCAACTACAACTCCCAAATGACAAAATCAATCCCTCCCCCAACCCCGCCAGTATTCAAATTTGGGCATATCGGGTATTTGTGACAAATTCGGTCCAGTGAATGAAAATACATCCAGCATATCGGATATTTACATCACGATCAATAACAGCAGCAAAATGACAGTTATGAAGTAGCAACAAAAATAATTTTATGGTTGGGGGTCACCACTACATGAGGAAGTGTATTAAGGGTTTGCGGCATTAGGAAGGTTGAGAAACATTGCTCTAATCAAAGGTATTTCTCTGGACTCAGTTTACTAAAGGAATAATGTGTAGGACTATTACTGCCTTCTTGGAAAAAACCTCAAAAAGTTTTTTATCTGTCTGTGCAAAAAAGGCAGAGATTTTATCCAGTTTCAGTGAGCCTTCCTCCTTTGCTGTCCAGGTTCAACTACTTCTTGGTTTGTGTTCACCTGTCAAATATAATGAATTCTGGCTTCCCGTAGGCAGTGTTTGAATTATTGAGAAAGGACTCTATCCTCCAAGTTTTCTGTTATTCATCCAATGGCAAATTATATTTTTGCTTACAATTGAGAGATGCCAGGGATGGGACTTGTAGATGTTTTTATTAAGGGTCCACTACTTTACTCCATTCATAATTTGAGCGTAGCCATCAAAGTTGGTGAGAGACACCAAAATGGAAAGAAAGGTGGTGACCAGGGGAGCATTTGCACAGCTAAAGCTTGTGCGCCAGCTGCGCCCGTACCTTGGGAAGTCTGACTTGGCCACGGTAGTCCACGCTCTGGTTACATCCCGTTTAGACTACTGCAACGCTCTCTACGTGGGGTTGCCTTTGAAGACGGCTCGGAAGCTTCAACTAGTCCAACGCTCGGCAGCCATGATTCAAACAGGAGCGGAGCGCAGGGAGCATACAACCCCCTGCTGCGCCAACTCCACTGGCTACCGATTTGCTACCGGGCTCAATTCAAAGTGCTGGCGTTGGCCTTTAAAGCCCTAAACGGTTCCGGCCCAAGCTACCTATCCGACCGCATCTCTGCCTATGAACCCACCAAGACTTTGAGATCTTCCGGGGAGGCCCTGCTCTCGATCCCGCCTGCCTCCCAGGCACGGCTGGCGGGGACGAGAGATAGGGCCTTCTCGGTGGTGGCCCCGCGGCTGTGGAATGCCCTTCCCACGGACATTAGACTAGCTCCATCATTAATGGTATTCCGCAAAAAAGTGAAAACCTGGTTGTTTGAGCAGGCATTCGAATAGTCAGTGCAATGAATGTAATGAACATAGGAATGGAACAATGGATGACGGATCTGGATCATGTTTTTAGTGATGAGACGCTAGCGAATGGCTATTGGTATTAATTGTATATTGTTGTTAATTATATACTTTTCTATAATATGTTATGATGTTAACTGTTTTTATACCGTGTTATGGTAGCATTGAATTTTTGCTGTTCTTGTTGTTAACCGCTGTGAGTCGCCTAAGGGCTGAGAACAGCAGTATACAAATAAATAAATAAATAAATAAAATGCCTTTGATGTTGTGAGAAGTTATTACATCCACTAAAAGGCATTGGGTCAGGCTTCTCAACCTGGGGATTGGGAACCGGGGTGGGGGGAGGGGGCTGAGGGGGTGTCAGAGGGGTCATCAAAGACCATCAGAAAACACACTACTTTTTGTTGGTCATGGGGGATTTGTGTGAGAAGTTTGGCCCAATTCTATTGTTGGTGGGGTTCAGAATGATAGTAGGTGAACTACAATCAAGAAACTGGTGGTGCTAAAAATTACCTTGCCTTACTGTGAATCTACACAGAAGAATATTTACTGACTCTACATAGAAGAATATATGCATCTACATCAAAGAATACATACAATACCCTTTTCTCCTCCCACATACCTTTAGGGAAGATGTTCTCCTTTGACTTTCCAAAGAAAAAGGAGTGAAGACCATTTCAGAAAAGGAGGTAAATATCTCACCTTTGTATGAATCTGGATGAGGAAGTCTTCCTGATGCACTTTGCGGCAAGGTTGCTCAGCTAATACTGAAGCATGAGATTCATCAGCTTCTTTCCCAATCTTGGTGTGGCACCTGTTTCAGATGCCTTGCCCGCCCATCCTCTCATGTCTTAAATTTTAAATGATTTGAAACTAGATACTTCTGTATAGACAGGTGCAACTCCAGAGGCTATAATTTCACAATCTACTTTGAAGAAAGCATCCTTGAGGAACATCGTTGGAAGGAGACGTGAAACAGAATTTTAGCCAGTTTGATTCTAAGCAAACATCTTGCAAAGAAGTTACACCTAAGTGGATGGAATGACTTCGAAATAACTGTTTTAGACATAAAGGACACAGAACAATAGACTAGTAGCACTTTAGGATAATTTTGGATCAACGACACATTATTCTGAGTTTGACTTACTGTAGCTTTGAAGCTGCACAGTTGCTAACATTTTGCAACACCTGTTCCTGTTCTTTGATAGCAGCCTGGCACAAAATTTAAATAAGCAAGTCTGCATCTTAACATACAGATAATATTATGATTCAAATGGTTAATTTCCGTGGGTTTGGCTGCTATTAAAGGCAGATGAGCAGGAACAATTTAAAAAATGACACCCGTACTTTATCATTCAGCACTGAAGCATTTTACAATTAATTACCCGATCGTAAAGTTTGGACGTTTCTTACACATCTAACCTTTCAGCAGGAGACAACAACATTATTTTTAAAAGTATACAATTACCTCCAGACTATGTGTGCAAGATTTATACATAAATGCTGTGTTGAGACTTGGATCCCATCTCAAAGAATTCTTATTATGTAAGTATATGCAAATATAAATATCCCCCAAAGAAAAAAAATCACATAATTCCTTAGAATGGAACAATGGCAGTTAATGTGGAATCATATTAGAACCAGAGAGAACAAATGTGAACGTTATGTTTGTGTAAAGTTTGTGTATGTTAATAAATGCGAAACATGAATCCCGTTTGTGTTGTCGAAGGCTTTCATGGCCTGAATCACTGGGTCACTGTGAGTTTTGCGGGCTGTATGGCCATGTTCCAGAAGCATTCTCTCCTACGTTTTGCCCACATCTATGGCAGGCATCCTCACAGGTTGTGAGGTATATTGGAAACTATTTATTTATTTATTTCAAATATTTATACCCCGCCCTTCTCAACCCCAATGGGGGGACTCAATGTGGCTTCCAGCCAGCACGTATTTAATGCCTACAAATAAACACAATAAAATACATATCAAAACCAATAATTATAAATAGTTAAAAACATTAAGTTAATACAATAAAATCTACAAAAATAAACCAGCCTAATGGCTATTGTCTAGCTGAATTCTGTAGATTGGAGACTTCATCAAGCTTGTCCATAATCCGTTTCCATAGCGAGAGAAAGATCACTATGTTGGACCAAGTGTGAATGTTGCAATTAATCACCTTAATTAGCATTGCAAAGCCTTGCAGCTTCAAGGTCTGACTGATTCCTGCCTGGGAGAATCCAGTAGACTCCTGCTGAAGTGAGAGGATTTCTCTTGTCCTTTACTGAGCATTGGTTGGATTTTCTTAGTGGTAGACTGTGCAAAAAGAATCAGCAAACTCCACCTCTTCCAAGGTGAATTGAACCATCTAAACTGGGCTCTACAGGCCAATGGAGACTCCACCACAGACATCGGAAGAGCTGCAAGTTCAAGAACAAGCCACGAGAGTAAAAACAATGATCCACCCAGAGGAAAAGTGTTTTCGCCATACATCAAGGGAACTCCTGAACGCATAGGAAAGCTGATGAAGAAACACAACCTACAAACTATCTACTGACCTATTAAGAAAATCCAACAAATGCTACTCTCTGCAAAGGACAAGAGGGATTCTCTCACCTCTGCAAGAGTCTACCGTATACCATGCAGCTGTGGATAACTCTATATGGAGATCACTAAATGCAGCATTGCCCAAACACGAATCAATGAACATGAAAGGCACTGCAGACTACTTCAACTAGAGAAGTAAGCCATACCTGAGCACTTGATGAACCAACATGGACCCAGCATATTATTTAAAAACACAGAAATGCTGGAGCACTCTAACAACCATCATGTCACACTACACAGAGAAGGCATTGAAATCCATAAGCATGTGGACAATTTCAACAGAAAGGAGGAAATAATGAAAATGAACAAAATCTAGCTACTTCTAAAATCAGGACAGTAAACAAAAACAACACTCAAAAAAGGAATTTTTCCAGACCAGCTAACATCTCCCAGCTAGCACCTCCCAACAAAGGATTCCCCCAGGCAGGAATCAGCCAGGCCTTGAAGCTGCAAGGTTTTGCAATGCTAATCAAGGTGATTAATTCACCTTGCCTCAGATATATAAACTTCCCTTGCTTAGTTTTCAATATATCTCACAACCTCTGAGGATGCCTGCCTTAGATGTGGGCGAAATGTCAGGAGAGAATGCTTCTGGAACATGGCCATACAGCCCGGAATACTCACGGTAACCCAATGTGTCCCACATTGGATGCAAATTGAGTATTAATTACTACAATGTAAACAGAAGTACAATTATTCCAGACCGAACAACCACCTTCCACAGGTCGAAAAATTATTAATTTTTGTTCCAATTCACAACACACTGTGCCATTTCTATCTTGGAACAGTTACAGAAAAAGCAAGTGATGAATTGTGCTCTAAAACAACAAAAACGGGAGTAAAGCTGAAATCACACCAAGCAAAAAATCAGAGAAGGAACATTTCATAGCAAGGGTTGAACTCATATGGCTCTCCAGATGTTGTTCAATTTCAACTCCCATGAGCCTGCACCAAACAACCAATGGTGCAGAACACAGAAAAATGCAGAATGGGAACTGTACATATTTAAATCTTGGTTTCTTTTGATGTGATAAAGTCCTCTTTATTAGACACCTATTTTTTCCTGCAGGCTGTCAAAACATATCCATCATAAATCATACAAAGCTGTTTCACCCTGATGAAATATTTGGATGTTTGTTTTATTAACACAGACTTGCACAATGTATCTGTGCCTGCAGCAATTCATGTAAATCTGTTTTAGACTTATGAAATGTTTGAATGTTTCCTTTAGTAATACAGGTGAGACAAACTGTAAACATGTTCTCTGGAGTAATAAATGTGTCAGAGAGTGAGTGTATGGGAGTGTGTGTGTTTACTCTTTGCATTGTTTGAAATTTGATTATGTTAACTTATGTACAATTAAGTTTAACATATATAAGTTTGTAAAAGGCAACCTTGTGGATAAATTGAAGATCGTTCTGCAAAAGGAGAGAGTGCCAGCAGTGCCATTTTCCCACTCAGGTAAGCAAAAACGGCTTTCACCACGTTTTTTAAAAGAGTTGAGGTACAATATCAGCTCTTATCAAACAAATTACCATAGTCTTCTTTGAATAGAATGGTAAAAGGCCAAGATGAAAGTCTATCTCAGAAGAACGGCAGCTATTCGGCACTTGTCCTCAAATGAGCAGCAGGAGAGTAGAAGGTGTTGATGCTCATTTGGGATGTTCCCAGCATGGAATAAACTCTTGACTTTTGCTGCCTAACTCAGAGAAATTGGTGACTCCTTTAGATAACAATTAAGGTACAGTGCTTACATTGATCCATGGATAAGTCAACTCAGTTTTTTGGGGGGTTGATTTTATTTACAATTCTAAACTTAGTAAAAAGGTAAAGGTTTCCTCTCGACATTAAGTCTAGTCGTGTCCAACTCTGGGAGGTGGTGCTCATCTCTGTTTCTAAGCCAAAGAACTGGCGTTGTTTGTAGACACCTACAAGGTCATGTGGCCAGCATGACTACATGGAGCACAGTTCGAAATTTCAGTTAGCGCTATAATCCGCTGTGCCACCGGGGGCTCCATTCTAAACTTAGATACGCATATATACTATATAATGATTTATATGCAATTATTATTCTTTATTCATAAACAAATCTTATTTTATAGTATTCAACATTACTTTCTTGACATTGTTTGATTGCAGATTGACATAGATTGCCAGCAAACAAGTCTCATTTTTGTATTTTAATTTTAAATGAATTATTTCTGTACTACATTAGAATCCAAGTGTGTTGGGATGAGAAAATTTGGCTCTCTACACTAAAAAAAAAATTCTGGTCAAAAATAAAATACATTTCCTCTTCTTTATAACTAGGGGCGCATCCATACAGCCCCTTTAATGTGGGGGTTACTGCAATAAAAAGGGGGTGTCCAGATGGTGACCTAGACAAACCCAAATTAATTCGCCACAAAGCAGGAAAACCCAGGTTTGTGGTGAATTAATATGTCAGTGGGTTTATTTTGCACCTGCTTGGAAGGCGCCGGATAAATCCATTACTTCTAGTGTCTGGACTGCAGTCCAGACAGCATTCTCACAGATTTCTGTGATAAATTAACCCGGAAATCTGTGAGAATACCACCCTCCTCCCCAAAAGACCCCCAAAACAGAGTATAAAAAACAAAAGAACTCACCCACCCTCCATGAGATGGCTGCCGGAGTTCTCCTGGTGCATACAAATGATGTGGCAGGAGAAATGGTGGGGAAATTGCAAAATAATAATAATAATAATAATCAAAAAAGCTCTGGCAGCCCTCTAATGCAGGGGTCCACAAACTTTTTAAGCAGAGGGCCAGATCACAGTCCCTCAAACTGTTGGAGGGCCGGATTATAATTTGAAAAATAAAACATGAATTCCTGTGCACGCTGCACATATCTTATTTGTAGTGTAATAAACACTTAAAAATAATAAACACTTAAAACAATGTTAACAAATATAAAATTATTAGTATTTCAATGGGAAATGTGGGCCTGCTTTTGGTTGATGAGATAGGATTGTTGTTGTTGTTATGTGCTTTCAAGTTGTTTCAGACTTAGGTTGACCCTGAGCGAGGGCTGGTTAAATGACCTTGGAGGGCCGTATCCGGCCCCCGGGCCTTAGTTTG